GGCCCCCTGGGCACACTGCTGGCTCATGTTCAGCCAGCCGTCAACCAGTACCCGCAGGTCCTTTTCCACCTGGGCACTGTCCAGCCACACTGTCCCCAGTCTGTAACCTGCAGGGGGTTGTTGTGGCCAAAATGCAGGACTCAGTACTTGGACTTATTAAACACCACCTTATTGGACTCTGCCCATCCATCCAACCATTCCAGATCTGTCTGCAGAGCCCTCCTACTGTCCAACAGGATGACACACAATGCCAGCTTAATGTTGTCTGCAAATGTACTAATGAAAGACTCAATCCTCTCATCCATGTCACCAACAAAAATATTGAACAGAACTGGCCCCAGCACAGACCCCAGAGGGACACCTCTAGTGACTGGCCCCAGCTGGAAGCAGCACTGTTCACCACCACTCTGGGCCTGGCTATCCAGCCAGTTCCTAACCCAGAAAAGTGCTCTTGTCCAAGACTGGGCTGCAGCTTTTCCAGGAGTGTTCTGTGGGAGATGATGTCAAAGGCCAAAGGCTGAACTCCAGATAGACAACAACCACAGCCTTTCCTGCATCCACCAGGTGGTTTACCTGGTCATAAAAGGAGATCAGGTTGGTCATGTTTGACCATGTTTGACCCTCCTAAACCCATGCTGGCTGGGTCTGATACCCTGGCCACCTTGTAAGTACTGCGTGATGACACTCAGTATAAATTGCTCCATTGCCTTACCTGGTACTGAGGTCAGGCTAACTGGCCTGTAATTACCAGGATCCTCCTTCCCACCCTTTTTGTGAATGGGGGTCACATTGGCCACCTTCCAGTCATCTGGAACCTCACCAGTGAACCAAGACTGTTGTTTAATGATGGAGAGTGGTTTCGCAAGCTCATCTGCCAGCTCCTTCATCACCCTGGGATGGATCCCATCTGGGCCCATGGATTTATGAACATCCAGTGGCTCAGCAGTTCTCTCACTGCCTCGTCCTGAATCACAGGGGGACCATTCTGTTCCCCGGCACCATCTACCAGCTCAGGAGGAGAGCTCTCCTGGGGACAAGCCATCTTCCCACTAAAGACTGAGGCAAAGAAGGCATTAAGCCCTTCCACCTTCTCCTCATCTACAGTTACTGAGTTCCCTCTTGCATCCAGTAGAGAACAAAGGTTGGTCTTACCCTCCCTTTTGCCATTAATATATTTGTAAAAACATTTTTTATTAGCCTTTACAAAAGTTGTCAAATTAAGTTCAAATTGAGTTTGGCCTCTTTAATTTTTTTCCTACATGCTCTAGCAACCCCCTTAAATACTTCCTGAGGGACCTGACCCTCCTTCCAAAGACGATACGTCCTTTTTATTCCTAAGTTCCTTCAAAACCTCGTTGCCCATCCAGGCTGGGCATTTACCTCATCCACTATCTTAAGGCACCCAAGGACAGTCTGTTCCTGTGCCCCAGTATCTCTCTTGCTCTTTGAAGCACACCCACCATTCCTGGACTCCTTTGTTTTTAAAAGCTGCTTCCCAAGGAACTCTCTAAGTCTCCTGAATAGGCCAAAGTCTGCCCTCAGAAGTCTAATGTAGAAGTTTTATTGATGTTCCTCCTCATTTCACCAAATATACAGAACTCTATAATTTCATGATCACTCTGCCCCAAGCAGCTTCCAACCACTACATCTCCCACCAGCCCGTCTCTATTTGAAAACAGCAAATCTAACATAGCCCCTTCCCTGGTGGGCTCACTCACCAGCTGCAACAAAAGTTATCCTCCACACACTCTAAGAACTTCCTGGACTGTCTCTGTTCTGCTGTATTAAGTTCCCAGCAGATGTCTGGTAGGTTGAAGTCACCTACAAGAACAAGGGCTGGTGATCCTTAAACATTTTCCATCTTATAGAATATGTTGTCCACCTCTTCCTCCTGCTTGAGTGGATGACATCAGACTCCCTGTAGGATATCAGCCTTGTGAGCCTTCCCCTTAATTCTTACCCACAGGTGTTCAGCTTCATCGTCAGCTTCATTAGTTTCGATACCCATGGCATCAAAAGCCTCCCTAATATAAAGGGCCACCCCTCCACCTCTTCTCCCTTTCCTGTCTCTTCTGAAGAGCTTGTGCCATCCAGTGCAGTGCTCCAGCCGTGTGAGTCATCCCACCACATTTCCTGGTTGCAATTTATATTCATTCAGAACTACTCAATTTAACACAGCTTTTGTTTATATAATGGGACACACAGCTCCCTTTACTCCAACATGATGAGAACAGCCAGCCGAAAACCAGCATTTAATGCCTGAAGGAAAACACGGCAAGATTTGTCAGGTAGTGTTCAACAACGGCCTCCTTTTAAAGTGAAGATTTTGTAATGGGTTTCCAAAAGACATGCTATAAATGCTTTACTTTACCTTTTTTATTTGCTTATGCTGAACAAAAAGGAGGAATTTCAGGCAAAAGTATTTCAACACATCGGAAATTAGACACCATTCCTTTAAGGGGTTATACTTCTTCCTGTTTCTACAACCCAAGGAGAAATTAATTGATAATATATGGATGTGAAACTCCTCCCAAAGCCAAGGGATCATTTGACTTGAGGCATGATCATGTTTTTGTAGAGATGCTCAAAGATACAGCTATGATCAACATTCACCACACCTGTATAGAAATATAGCATTAATGACTCCCAGCTTTTCTTCACCTGAGTTTCCTTGCCGATGACTCTTCCTCCTCGCCCTGCTGCTTCTTCCTTCTCTATCTTCCTTTCTTGATCCCCAAACAAGAACCCCTGCCCACTAATTAATTCTTCTTGCCATGGTTAGCTGTGTAAAGAGGAGCACAGCAGGTAGGCCTGTCTGCCTTAAACTGCATCTTTTCAGAATCACTTACATCCTCAGTCCTGGAATGACATCACAGAGAATTGCACCAGGTAGGATTATCAGTCTGGATGCTGTGCTGCTCTTCACTCACCCTGCTCCTCAGCAGTTAACGATTGCAAGCGAGGTGTCTAGATAAAATGGTCTGCAAATCACCCAAGGGATAATTAAAAGGAAAAAAAATAGCACATATTGCATTTCTAAAGGCAGAATGAAAAATAACAAAATGAAACAAAACAAAAAGCAATACCAAAACAGAATCAGGAGGGCAGGTGCTGTCAGCTGTTCTTGCACAGAGAACAGTTGACAAAAATACATGTGGGAATGGCAGCAGTGTTTGCTTCTCACAGTATTAATCAACAAGGCTTTAAAGCAAACAGAAAACTCCCTGAGATTGTCTGCTGGTTTGGATACAGGCACACACACCCCCCTACACCCCTACACAAACACACACCCACACACTGCTTTTACCAGGCAAACAATCCAGGTAACTAAATTCTACATCTGGACATTACAAGTTTTCAGACACAAATCTGTTCAGTTTTACAAATGTTAAAAAGTGTCCGTGTCTTTGCAAAATATAAATGGAAGGACAGCATACTTGGTTAGCAGGTTGTTGCCTATCTCATAGAATCCATGTGTATAATACTAAGGCACGCTATTTTAAGACAAATTAATCCATTATTATAGACACTAACAAGATTTTTATGTATTCTGTACACTCTCAAAAATGTAATTTATTTCTTCAAGATAGTAATGCTGGCTGCAGCACATCTTTAGTAATTGTTAATTGCCTTCAATATTTCTGTAATATGTGGTTGTCCAAGCTAATGAATTAGTGTGACCCTATGTGTTTTCTTACCAATATAAATAATTCCATTGTAACTAAATCAGCAGTTTTTAATGACCTCTTTTTGCACTTTAGGCCTGAACAGTGAGAAGGTTATGGACTCCTACCATTTAATGAAAGAGAAACCAGATGAAATAAAATGCCCTGCAGCATACAGAAGGTTTGACTTACTAGATCCAATATCACCCATGCTGTAAGGGTCATTTGCTCAGAAGTGCCTGTTACATACACCATCAAAACCTTAATACAAAAAAATTTAATAACCTGCAGTTAAAGCACATCCACATAGACATCTTGAACTAAGTAAAAAGAAAAGTAACTGTTTTCCTGTTTTTATCCTTACATTCAGTTAAAGAATAAAAAAGGCCTTTGTTTAATGAAAATTGTTTAGTGCCTTAAAAAAACCCTGCATATAAAACTGAAGCAGACAATGTGACTGATTTTCGGCTGCAGAGAGGTCAGAGTTGGCCCCATGTATATGCAGCCTTTAAATAATTTATTTATAGCAAGCCTTAATAATTGATTTATGTACAATCAAAGCTACAGCTGCTACTCAGACTGGCTTGATTTAAATAAGTATTTTAACCACAAGGGCAGAAAAAGTCTTACATTGCAGCTTTAAGACTATGGTTTATTCCCCAGGTCAGACCGGATCATTTAATCAGATACCTTCATCTATACTGCTGATTCTTGACATTCCAAAAGCAAACCATGCACTAGTTCCATGAACAAATCTCTCTGTAATTAATTCAAATATAGCTGCTGTGTTCACACACAATCTGCGTGACAGTGATTTAAAGGAAAAAAGAAAACAGGAGAAGAGGACACAACCTCAAGTTGCACCAGGGGAGGTTCTTCCCTGCAAGAGCGATTAGATTTTGTAATGAGCTGCCCAGCCCAGGGAGGTGGCGGAGTCAGCGTCCCCGGAAGTGTTAAGCAATGACTGGATGTGGCACTCAGTGCCATGGTCTGGTTGACAGGGTGGTGTTGGGTCACAGGCTGGACTCCATGACCTCGGAAGTCTTTTCCAACCTGATTCCGTGATCCCTTCCCTACCTTAATAGTAAGAACACTTAAACAGTGTTTTTATTATTTAACCTCGATGCTGCCTGGAGTCCCCATTGTGTGGCCCAAGCCTGAAACCCTGGCTCCCGTCGCCAGGCGGATGTCCTCGGCAGGAGCAAGCTCAGGCAAACGCTGCCTTACCGCGGAGCGCGACACTGCGCGGGCCTGCCCGCGCCTCCACACGCACAACCGCGACCCTTCCGGGCCTGGGCAGGCCGCGGGCAGGGCACGGGAAGAGAGGCGGGCGCGGGAAGTGCGAGGGCAGGGCACGGGAAGAGAGGAGGGCCCGGCACAGAAGAGGCGAGGGCGCTGTCGCGCCGTGCGAGCGTCACGGGCAGGGGGCGGAGGCGGCGCGGCCGCGCTGCGGGAAGGGGAGCGGGGGAAAGGAGCCGGAGCCCCGCGCTCTCGGGTAGGTGGGTGGCGGGCGGGACTGCAGGGCCTGGGCCAGGCCGGCTGGCCTGGGGCGGGACATCGCCCCCGGGTCGGGGAGAGCCGAGGAAGCCATCCGTCCATTGTGGGCGGGAGGGAAGAGGCGAGCGGGAGAGCCCATTCCCGAGTGTGCGGGGGGGAGAGGGCAGCAGCGGGAGTGGGTCAGGCCATCCCTGGCTGTTGGAGAAACCCGTCTCGTCTGCTCTTACTGCGCTTAATTAGTGCTACCATTGAGTAGCACTAATTCACCGCAGCGCTGCTGTTCAGGGACCCAGAGGTACCGAGCGTAGCGATGACACAGTCTCCTGTGGAAGTGTGACTGACTTGTGCTCCACGCTTCCTGCAGGATTCAGCGTTCCCGTCCCTCGCCTCCGCCTGGCTGAGCCAGAGCTCTTCGCCACTGCACTTTACAGCCTGGCACCTTGATGGAAACAGATGTTGATGGTGGTCCGAGGTGACGTATGACCGAGGAGCAGCAGGCCTCCTTTTTTGTTTTGCCACACTGCAGCTAACTTTGTCCGGTCTTGTATGTGGGATTTAAATTGCCTCTCCTCAGACAATCAGTTTTTCTTGAGTTAGAGCCTAAACTGTGTTCTTCCAAGGCTTCAGATTTTAAGGACTACAAAGGTTTGATGTAATTCTTAAGCGTAGTCTGACATACCTTGTCAGAAGACGTTCCGTTGGGAAAATGGGTGTATGACTCCACTTGTGTATATAGTTTTTAGTAGAATGGAAGTCACAAGAAACTGCTACTACTTCTACTAATAGAAATTACTAGAATCTGAAAAAAAAGGATTGATCACAACCCTTGGTATTTCAAGCCTAAAGTTTCAGCCAGAACGATATATACTGTAGAATGCATTTTAAGCATCACACATGCTGTGTTTGGCTTGGGCTTTTTAACAGTTGCCATATTTATGAATTCTCTAACTGATTGAATTCCAGGTTCTTTTTTTTAAAGAACTATGTTCATCTTATATTGTGCCTGTTTTGCAGATATTTGTGGGGGTTAAATTATTTGAACTCCAGCTGAATAAAACAAGGGCTGAAAATTGAAAGATGGCAGCAAATCCTTCAGGACAAGGTAGGTTTTAATTTAAGTATTCAAAGAAAAAGTGAATGCAAAATATCAGTGAAGTCACCATAACTGTCAGTTTATTTTTATGGAAAGATGAAGAAAGGAAAGAGAGGTAGGGCTGAAAGCAGAAGAATGGCAGCAATTCCTCTGGGACAAGGTACACACACATTTAATGGTTAAAAGACCACTGATGGCTGGGAAGCTCTTTATTATTGAACATAATATTGTGCTCAGGGTTAGGAAGTATGTATCATGCCTGTGGTGCAGTGATCATTTCCTGAAGCTTATTTCAGACACAGCCCTTGGCCTTTAGCATGACTTGCAGCTGTTGCACTCAACATCAGAGAACAGCCAGAAATCAAATATGTTCCATGTCATGTTGGGAACAGCAAGACCCAGGCAGTAATATCTGTCACAGGCAATTGGCCAGGCCCAGGAGAAAAAGCCAGTTAAAACTGTCATGGCAACTGCGATGAAATGTTCCTTTTTACCAAGATGCATCTCCATTGTATCCTTAAAATAATAAAAATCTTAGTAATGGTCCATCTATCCAGGTAATGCGTGTGCTTTAGAGGGGGCTGAGGGTCTGGAGGTGTCACCCAGTAAGTTTGAAGGAGGATCTTAAATCGCCCTCTAGAGGTGTTTTCTGGAAACCTTAGGGGATCTCTGAGGCTTTTCTTATATGGAAGAGCTGGAGAAAAAGCTTCTCAGGTATGGCTCTTCCCTTACTTGGTTATGAGAAATGAATTCTGGGTTCAGTTTCCCAGCAAGTGGAGACTTTTTGCAGGTCTGTCATTTTCTCTTTGCCTCAAGCAGTCCTGCAAACCTGGTGTTGCTGGATGATACTTCAGGGGTGTCATATGACTCATGTGGGTCCAAACCACAGATTTTACTTGCTACTTGATGAAAAGGAGGTAGTTTCAGGAATGCTTTTTGAAATTTTTTGTGGTGTTGACAGAAGTACTGCAGATTGCAGAGCTGTCTGTTTGGAAATTTTAACTCTACAGTAAGTTTTTGGTACATAATGGTAAATCTTGCTATTATTCTGTGAATACCAAAATCGACATCACTGCAAGGAATAGCATGTTGTCATAGAGAGTTAAAAGCTGCTTTTTCTTAAATATGTTGGTTTACTGAGAGATGGGATTTTAGTGCCAAATACCTTTGCTTCTCTCCTGATTCCAGAGTCTTAAAATTTAATAGAGCCTTTTATATTTGAGATATCCTTTACAGACTCATTAAAGGAGCCATGCCGTTATTATTTGAAAATTGTTTGGATTAAGGAGACAAGAAACACTATAAATTACCAAATAAGCCTATAAGTAGTCCAACTAGGAAAATTAGAAAGGAACAGGTAAATATAAACAACAGTTCAGGGTTTCTGTCTTTGCTAGATGCAGTCTGGTCGTGAAAAGGGCTGTGGAAAACACTGCATTTTTAGCTTGCCTCTTGGCACATGTATTAGTACTGTTCAAGGAATCTGTTCTCTTTACTTGGACAAAAAGAATACAAGTTTACTGAAATGCTCGCCTTATGAATGGTAGCAGAGCTGTTAGGATGAATTAAACATTAGCCTTCCACACCCCAGGCAGACTGTGATGGTAACTTTTTGTACCGAATTACTGCTTTTCCTTTGATTTGTATGAGGTATGTATGAAAATTTGTATTTTCTCAAGAGTAAATTTGACTTTTCCACTGATAACAGACTTGGACTATAAAAGTTAAGATTTTTTGGACCAGGCTTGCATTCACTGGCCTCTTGGAAAAGCACTCTTGGTGGTGAGCTGCATGTGAGTGCAGACAGACGCAGAAGAATTGAATGAAAAGCCTTACTTCAGTTCATTAGTACTACAGGGAACTGATGGCATTTACAAGCAATGGAAGATCTTGCTGTATGCTGTGTGCTGTCCACTACGTGCATTCATTGATCAGAGTGATACACTTCGAGGGGTGGAAATCAGCTTCTGAATTACAGCAAATACTTCCAGGTGCTCAGGGACATGCTGCTCCTACTGCAGTACTTCACAGTACTTAGGCAACATGCCATTCATCAGGCTGCTCTTATGAAATGCCTTTGCTTGTGCACAGCAAGGCCAGAGCATTGCTGTGTGTCACTGAATTAGCCACTCTGTGTGTGAGCCCTCCTAGAGGAAGCCATCTGACATGAGAGACATGTAACTGCTCAGGACAGAATTCTCATTTCAGTCCTCAAAGGTGGCAAAAATACATATCCTGCTTCAGACAGGGCAGAAAATAGGAGTCCTGGTTTGTTGGAAGAAGAAGCTCTTGAAATATTAACAGAATTCTAAGTTTCAGGCTGCAGCAATTCTAAAGTTGCTTTATGTTCTAAAAGTTGTTTATGCTTTTCCCTAAAGGTATGTGGGGGCATTCACAGAGCACAGTCTAAGCAGCTAAATTTGGTTCTCTGTTCACTGAGTTTGAAAAGGAAGATTGTGCTGTTCTGTGTTCCGTTATGTCATCATCTACGCATTTTGCTCTTCCCCATCTGAGTCTGATCTGTGTGTAAGCATACCACTTGAGAACTTTGCAGCCATACAGCTGTCAATTATTTATGTTCAGCTATGTATGTAGCTCTTTTCTGGAGGCACAGACAAAAAACTAATGTATTTATAAGTAATTCAACGTAATTTACTGAATAACCAGTACACCTTTTGTTTCATTGTCACACAAGGTATATGAAAGCATATCCAGATGTAAATTGTTACTGAGAGTATTGGCATACAGCAGACTTCTAGATGATGTTTTGAGATGCCAGTCATCATAAGCAGAACAGGCCATCAGAATAGAATTACCCCATTTCTTTTGCAAGTGGTGTGTGTTTAATATGGTCTTTAGATTCTGCTTTTTAAGAGGATGCTGCCTCACTTCATTAAGGCTGCCATTTATAGAAACATGCACTTCAGTAAAGAAATTGCTTTAAGTCCTTTCTGAATTGAGCAGGCAGGACAAAATGCAGTGCTTTTCAATGTTCAGAGCTTGGAGCTGACATACACTTAGAAAATATTTTCAAAGCTATATTTTGAACAGAAAGTAACAGAGGGCTTTTTAGTGCTGTTACACATCTATGGATAGATGATAAATGGTGCATCTTGGAAAAAACTTAAATGTGCTGTGAATCTGAAGCAACAGATCAAGGAAACGGATAAGGGAGAAAAGATAATCAATGAAAAGCAAAAAATTTTAAAAAGATAAAGATAATGCTGTTGCTTGCCCTGCAGAGTTAATTAGAAGAGCTAACTGACATAGGTAAGGGTTAGATAGCGTGGTTGATAAAATGTTGAGATTAGGTTGAAGAGAGCGGCCTGCCTTGAGCTCTTAAAGCTGCCAGTATCACTCAGCAACGTTTCAGATTTCTCTGGCTTTCTGCCTTTCATGTGCAGAAAATGGGTGCAGGTAATCTTTCTGGTCCTGGACAAATACAATGCTTGATGTCAGAAACAGAGGTGTCAGAAAGGTTTAAATTTTAAGTGTCCTGGATTTGCTACATTAGAGAGTAATCTGAGGATCTGAGTGCTCAGTTTGCCATCTGACACTGCCATGATCTAGTTAGCTGCCTTGAACAGATCATTTTGTGTCAGGACTCATGTCAGCAAAGCAGAGAAAAATATTTATAAACTGCAATATTCGAATTGTTCACACTCAAAATATTAATGCAACTGAGCCCAGTGAAGGGAAGATCTGTTAGGAAGTTCCTGTATTTGAAAATCTGCACTGGTTTTCACAGATGGGAATCTGGTGTGTAGTAGGGACAGCTTTTGATTTTTGCATGTCCACATTTTTAGTAGTAGGAAGCAGAACAGACTAATCTGCAGATGAAATATTACTGTTATTTATGATTGAAGTGGGAAACTTCTGTAGGAGTTTCAAATTGGTCTTTATGGTCTTTATTTTGGGTTCCTCAACAAGGAAGAATCTAAATGAAAGTCTTGCTTATTTATTGCCAGATATGGCTAATTACTTTCTAAGGATGCCAGAATTTCTCTGTAAAATGGATTTTTCATGTTCCATCTCCTTCATTGTTAACCTTTAAATGAACAGGCTTTGCTTTGCACATTGAAGAAGTTTACCTGCAGGAAGATCATATTGCTTAGCTGAGGGGTATTAACATGTATTTGTTGAATGGCCTTCTCCACTTTTTTAAACAGGCTTTTTTCTCCTTACCAATAACAAATTCTCTTAAACAAATTACTTTTTCAGCACAGTAGGTTGCTGATGGTTACTGTCTGAACTCTAGTGCAAAATACTACTTAAAAAAAACCCAACCAACAATCAATCAAACAAAAAACCACAAAAACCACAAAGCTGTTATTAGAGGTATGAGGAAAGAAAAGATACTCGAGTTTCTTCTGACTGCCTCTAGAGTTTCTTCCACAAGATACTGTAACAAGACTCATAATAGAAGACAGTCTTCTGCTGTTTCTGATCACAGTTTAAAAACAGCATTTAAAATGTCTCAGGCTTTTCTGAATCATACCATCTGTTTCATGATAAATTTAAGCATATTTAATCTTCATTTTTTTAGATCACAAACTTACATTAAAAAGTAGTCTCCTTTTTCTTTCCTTAATCATCATATCTTGTGAATTCCAAATGTGCATTTAAATCTATGCAGTTTAGGATAAGCAAGCAGTATGAGTAGGGTGCTGAAAAATATATAAAGTATAAAGGTTTTTGGATTAAAATTGTGTAGATTGAGCATACAAACATATGGTTGTTTTAGGTCAGGCCCTCTAAGAGGTGATTCAGTCATCCTATCCACGCATTGTCTCAAAAATTTACAAGAAAGTAAAGTCTGGGCTAGCTGCAGCTCAGAGATATTAAATCCTGGCTTGTTGGCAAGATTTGTCAGGCTTTGTATGTCAGCTCAGCTTTAAGGTTTCAGATTCATTGCAAGCCCAAAGTCTTTAAAAAAAAAGTAAAAAGTGATAGTGTACAGTACCCGAAGAGCAGAGAAACATCAAAGGCCTGAATCAGTACTCTTATCAAGCAGAGTTTTAAGTGGAGCTAATGCTACACAGGAAGGAGTGATTAGCAGACAGGAAAATTCCAGTTAATGAAATGTAACTGAAAATCTTGTTAACAAATGTTGAAATTATTGTGGGTGATATTACATAAAACCATACTACAATATAATCAAAAGACTGTGCTCCTTTCAAGAGCTTTTGAGACACTGAAGTTTATGGGTGTGTGTATATTAGGCATGGTAGGAGAAAAACATGAAAGTTTGGTAGCAAGGCAGTACAGATGCATATTGTTATTTAGAGATGAAGGTTTCTCTCTGGCGATTGTTTCCTTCATTAAGCCGTGCAGATGAAAGGAATTCTGGGTTATGTAATTGAGCATCAGCACAAGGTCTGTCAAAGAGGATGATCTTGGAGTGCAGCTTCTGAAAAGAAATAATTTTACCTTGACATGCTTAAGAGTTACCCTGTGTGGCCTTCCTCACAGCTTGTGGGCTACCATGTTTTAGTGCCATCACTAAGACAGTTTGCAGGGCAAGGGTACAGCACACAGCAACTTCCAGGGGAATCTTGGACTTTTTGTGTGGAGGAAATAAAGGAGAGCTTGACTAATACTTTTTTTTTTTTAATGATGTTGTCATAGCTTGTTATTTTAGAACAGCAGCTTGTTATTTTAGAACAGCAGCAAATAGAAGTGTGCATTTCTGACATGAGGAGTGTCCTTGGTGGCATAGAGGCGTGTAAGAGTCAGCTCTGGAGCTTTTGTCCTCAGCTGTGCTGTTTGGACATACTGGGTAACAGCAGGGGCTTGTGCCTCTGGTTTGTTTGAGGGCTGCAGTGAGATTCTTTATTCTATGAGTCATGTGTAGGTACAGGAGGTTTGCCATGTCTGCATCTAGAAGGCAACTTTAAAAATACATAGGTGGCAACTATTTTGGGCATTTTTGAAATTCTCTCAAGTCACCCTACTTCCTGACCCCTTCTCTAGTATTCAAGGTTGCTTTGGAAGAATGATGAAAGCAAATGGAGGCCACATTCTTTTATTGTGTACAGACAGTTTAATAGTTTAAATTTGCTTCTCTATTCCAGCATTTGATCATACTCAGAATAAGGGTAGTGTATATAAGACACATTATATTTAAATTTTTCTTCATAGATTGAATGAAACATGTTTGTATAAACACATGTGCAAGCTTAGTGATTTGCTCATTCTTATCTGTTATATGTATAAAATGCTTGTGTTACAGTTTGAGTTCACTGACATGAGAAACTAAGCCCATGCATATATTACTCCATTGTTATTGTTGAGTTGAACATTCATTGACTACTTTTAAAATTTAGAACCTGCTAAGTTTACTTCTTTTTTTTGGAAGGCAGCTTTTGAGCATAAACCTTGATTGTAGCTCCAGAGCTGACTTGGGAAGGGATAGGCTCTAACTTGAGTTAAAATCTTCTGTTTAAAATGTAATAATATGCATGATAGCTTATGGAAGCTATTGCATGCTGAAAAATGAAGCCTATTTAATAATAGTCTTTTCAAGTGAAGATCAGTCTATTCATCTTAGAGTCATTTTCTACTGGAATTTCTAATTCCACAGGGTTAGTTGGGCCACAGCAGTCAAATAAATATCTCTAATATTTTTCTGTCATTCTCACCAGGTTTCCAGAATAAAAATAGGGTTGCAATCCTGGCAGAACTAGACAAGGAGAAGAGAAAGTTACTTATGCAAAACCAGTCTTCCACAAATCACCCTGGAGCCAGGTATTTTATGTTCTTAGACCTCTTGGGACATTACTGATTGCATCAAGGAAAAAAAAGCCAAACAGCTAGTGAGCTGTAAAGTTATATAAATACTTAACAGAAGTGTTTTCTGACCATCTTTAATACCAAGGCAGAGGGACATTGCTCTTTAGAAACAATAATATTAGTATTTAAAGTGGTTCACACAGCATTAATTTTGGCTTCTATCATTTCCATTTGAGAATGAGAGAAGCAGGTATGCTTACTCAAGTGTATTAAATTCTACCATAAAAAAAAATTGGTAAGCAGACACTGAGAAAACATTTCATTATTAAGCTGATATGCTTTGAGGAATGTAAGTAGCAGGCCATTAGGTTCAGGATTCTGTGTGCTTAGAGAAGAGCAATTATAGCAGGAGTGAGTTATTCTTGAAACTCCCTATGTGCAAGACAGAGCCAGTGTATGTTATAGCAGATAATCTTGTAAAAGATGCTGTGTTGTAGGGATGATTCTGTGCCATAAAGTGTAGTAGTCTAATCTGAGTTGCAAGGTGTTCCTAGGATTTCTCCCAGACAAGACAAGAAGATCAGATTTTTGTCATAAATCGGTAACTAGAAAATCACACAATAATTTATGTGGAGAAATTGACATCCTTAAACTTTGGGGTTAAGTGAGTGCAGTGCCACGTTCTAGACACCGTGTAACACATAACACCTGTACAAGAGTCCAATACTCTGACTACAGTCTGAGTGCTGCCCCTCTTTTCTTCTGAGAGATTCCACTTTTATTTCCTTCATAATGTCAAAAAACATGCAGAATACTTGAAATTGCCTGATGTATACTTCTGAGTAAGGTAAGAAGTTACTGTTAATAACTTAATGTGGTTATTACTTGAGCAAAATTGTTGGAAAGAAAATCACAGCATCATACTGTTAGGTACAGCTGCTGGGAACAGTGTTTCAGTGCTTAATTGTAAGTCTGACAGAGCTTCAGGTAGAACTTGTTTACTCTCTTTTTTCTCTGAGGAAATACAACACTGATTCTAGTGAGCAGAATTAGAATTTTCTAGTTTTGAAGGTGGAGATGGGTGGAACCTACAATGCAGCAGTCAGACTCTCTGCTTTGGTGTGATTTTTTTGGTGTGATTTTTCTGATGTGTGACTTTTGAGAACCTGACAGATTTTTGATGTTGTGCCAAAGGTCTTGGAACACAGAGTTGTTGGAATTGAGACCCTAAAAATTGTACAAACTTGACCAAAAGAGCTTGATGTACCTAAAGCACAGCAGTGGCAGGGACAGCATAAGGGTGAAGGGGTTAATTGATTTCTGGACTTGGCACGCTTGGCACGAGAAAATCCTGTATCCAAGAACAGGAGACCTCTTTTGAAAAATGTCAGCTTATGGTGGAGCCTTAAGCTTATGTACAGAAATCATATTGAAAAGTTAGAGAGTACAGATTACAAATTGCAAATTAAATACCTCCAAATCACTGAAAATACTGTGTTCTAAATAAACTGAGTAGTAGTCTTCTCCAGCAGTGTAACTTATCTTAATACTTGCCATAAGCAAATTTTTTTTCTGAATTGTTTAGCTTTTGTTATGCATTTAGGCATAGATTTGGCTGCAGATCTTTCAATGCGCATGGTTGCTTCTCAGAAACTGATTTACTAAATCAGCTGTTGACATTTAAACTGCTGGTAAAATTCAGTTGATGAATTTGCTTGGAATCCTTGTCATTTGTACTTCTGTCTCTGTGATTGGTAAGAGCACAATTTTCAGCAGCAGTCTCCAGTGACAGTTTCAGAGGTAGTTGAGAATTGTCTTGTGATACAGTTCTAATGGCAACCCTCACCTGATTTCTGTGTTACTTAGAGTTCAGGGTGCTTTTTATGTCTTCTTTTTGGTTTAAGAAGGCAGACAAGCCCTAAGCTATAAAACACAAGAAAAAACATCAGTAAATTTTGATTTGAAGCTTTATGCTGCAGTGAGATACGCTAAATCAGTTTTAGGTACTCCAAGCTGTTAGCAAAGGATCATTATTTCAGTTAACAGCAATAGGAAGTTCCTTTATCATAGGTAGTGAACTGCTTGCCCCCCACTGAAGACCTGTTGTTGTACTGAAGCTCTTGATACTGCTTCTGTTTGTCACAGTTGTTTAGAACAGTGACTGAGTAGTGGTGAAAGCACAAAGCTGCCTTAGAAATTCCTTGCATTGTCTAACGCTGCACCTCAGTGGTTTCATTGACTTCAGTGGGACTCAACCCAAAATCCACAATAGGCTTCAGGTTTAGTTTGGCAGGAATTGTTTATGATGGCTCAAATTGTACAGCTGTGGTCACTCCATCTACTCTTTTTTTTTCTCCTATATTTACAGATAGTAATTCCAAACAGTAACTGACAATTGTCAAGCTGTGAGTGAAATGAGAGCTCAGGAAGTCATGGTATCCATGGCTAGAATGGCAAGAACACATGTTTTGGCTGTGGTCTGTGTCATACCATCTTGTTCTTTCTTGCAGCATTGCACTTGCAAGATCACCTCTGAATAAGGATTTCCGTGATCATGCTGAGCAACAGCACATTGCAGCACAGCAAAAGGCTGCACTGCAGGTGAGCTGATACAGAGTTCAGTTTGGCTCTGTTTTAGATTGCAACCCTTCAGAGAGCAGCCCTGCTCCTAGAGATATTGAAAACCCCTTTTAGAGATTAGGTATCTCTCATTTCTGTATTTGTCAAAGTGAAGTCTCTTTTGTTATGATGAAACATGTCCTTGGGCATGGAGAGCTCCAGCTAGCCCCACAGCCATGTCGTTGTGTCTCTGTTGAGCTCCCCCCAGTCTGTGTCCCAGACTGAGCTCACATGGCTCCCCTTGGCCTGCTGGCCATGCTGTTGCTGGTGCAGCTCACTGTGCCAGTTACCCTTGATCACTCCCAAGGGCACACTAAAAGCTCAGGCTGAATTTGAGATCCAGCAGGGCTCTTTCCTAGAGGTGGAGGGAGGGAATGTGCAGAACATCTAACTTGCTGGAGTCCAGCCTTTGAACCAGGAAAGGGTATGTAGGATTTCACAAAGGTGTTCCAGAGCCATACAACAGCTGCCTCCCTCAGGTGAGCAAGCATATATCTACATCACATGAGCAGAATCCTGGTGTCCCATGTTTGGGATTGTGTCTGGTGGCACACTGTGCAGCTGTCGTAAACCAAGAATTGCAGGCTGGTTATGGAAGAGAGTGGAAGTGGCAACATGGGGTCTAGGCAAAGAAGAGCAATCAGGAGTTGATTTGCTCCACCTCCATGGGGTTGGCTGAACAGAGCAGAAGAGAATGTCCAAATTAATTGCTTTGATGTGCCCTATTCTGATGTAGCTGATCTAAAATGCTGGGTTTGAATTTGACTATCAGAATTAAGGAGCAAACTGGGAGAAATAAATAATTAATGCTGCAGAAGCCGTGAAGTCTTAAATCATGTCAGTGCTGCAGGGAGAGATGCTTTAACAAATGCTTTTCTCTTTCCAGCACGCACATGCACACTCCTCAGGATACTTCATAACTCAAGACTCTGCATTTGGAAATCTTATTCTTCCTGTCTTACCTCGACTTGAGGCAGAATAAGGAATGTTGTTTGTCTCAGAAATTCAAGATCTGATTTTTGTCCACAGCAGGAGCTGTCTGTCCGTTTAATTTCTTTATGTATCTTAAAACCTACTTTTTTCTGGGTTCTTGCAAATGCCATTCAGGAGTGTGAGCTCTAGTGATGGGGAAATAGTGTTGAAAATTTTTTATCCTGTATTTCTGTTCCTCTGTCGGGTCAAAGTCAAATGCAAGACTTCTTGGGGTTTGAAGTGCACAGGGTTTCCTCTTCCCTGTTTCAGTGCTTCCTTTAAATAAATGTCCAAACCAGAGCTACCAAGAGATGCACAATCTGACAGCATTTGTGTTTCTTTTTATTATGTACAGGTATGATTTTTGTAATGAATAATGAAAATTATTTCTGTCCATCAAAACAGACACGGATTTGTCAAATGCATCAGCCAGTCTTCCTCCCCCACCCTCTCCTATGCAGAAACATTTATAGTGTACTGTTTACCATTGTAGCATCCTCTGGTCTTAAGTCTTTAGTTACAGTGTGCCTGCCTCTTACCTTGCTTTGTGAAATGTGGAAATGAATTAAAGTGGGAAAAAAGTAAATATTTCTAACAGTCTTTTTATGGACAAAATATCAAAACTTCTCTGGACATCTCAGATGGAAAGTGTTGTCTGCAAAGACAATTCCATTTAAAAGGTCAAATTTTTCTAGTTAAGCATTTTTCAAGACTCAGTGTGTTTTATTTTTGTTCACTTTTTTCCGTGGTGTTTTTATCTGTGGTAAACAATTCCAGCTTCCTGCTGGAAAAAGATCTATTGATCTTAAGGTAAATTACTTTGGAACTGTGATTGTGCTGCCAGGATAAAGTAACTTAGAGTGAAAAATAGGCCTTACTTGGACTTGGTTATATCTCCACAGCTTTGCTTGTGCAGTTAGGCTACTACACTGATTGCATTGCCTACGGAGGCAAGTTCTAGAAAACAGAAGAGAACAGGAAAACTTATGTGAGAATGATAAACCAGAAAGCATCTGTTAAACTGGTGCCCATTTGAAACAGCTCTGTCCTGTGCAGAATCTTAGCTGTCCCTAAGTTTCCAGGATTGTAGTTGGCATTTCCTTAGGGACATTGAGGGTATTCTGTTTCTATATGCAGGGGATTGCCTGAACCCAATAAGCACTACTGAACTGTTAATATTTTACTGTTAATATTTGCAGTAATCATGAATACAGAACAACTGTATTTTATTTTATATTTATTATTTTTCCTTAAACCTGCACCAAGAGATGGGTGCAGGTTTAAGGAAAATGCCACTGCTTTCATATACCTCGGCTGAAAATAGACCTTTGCAGAAACTGGAGCATACTGAAACATTTTCAGGAAGGAGAATCTTCTGGACCCAGCCTGGTAGAGCTTAAAGATGTGCAATTTTAACAAGAACTATTCATACCATATGCTTTTTTTTCTGGGTTCTGATGTGATGAGTCATGGGAATGATGATGGTTTTTGTGGGCAGTGGAGAAAGAAGTCACTTCTATTTTCTGTGGTTGGCTCTGTGTAGCTTTTTCTTTTTAATTACCAATTATGAAATTACCATATGAAATTTTCCTGTCTATTTGTTATTCTGCAGTGTGAGCTGCACATCTTATTAGATGTTTTGAAGAAAAAGATATGCAAATCTCAGTGTAAAAGAGGCAGCTATGAATCTGTCCAACCTGGAAACATACAAAGGCAAAGATGTTAAAGCAGATGCAGCAGAAAGCATGGATTTTATATTTTAGTTGAATGAACATTAAAGGAGCTCTGTGCGACTTATTTGAACTATTTGAATTTTTCAGTATCATCATACAGACTGCAAATGATCCACGCAATGCAACAGTAATCATCTTTCTCCCTTGGAAAGTTATGGTTGTTCCACTGAAGGAGTTAACACTTGTTGGCTGGGTTGTTTTCACCTTGGGTATTGAAAGATCTGCTTTTGGAAATTCGGGGCCTGAGCTCAAGAATGAGGAATGGCAGGTGGGGGCACACATGCAGCTGTTGTGATATTTTAAAGTTTTAAAGTCTCAAATTATTCTTTGCAATTGTGAGGGTCTTCGTGATATATGTAGATAGGATTAATTGTCAAATACACAAATTACATATGTGGAAGCACCTATCTTAAAATTACAGACTCAAGCAATTACTGTCAGATGTATCAGTTTGTCTTGCCACTCTTTCTTTCCTAGTATTAGCAGTATTGGATACATTAATCTGTCCCTATGCAGTAACTCCAGCAAACCCCTTTCTCTTGGAACCACATGTTCAAATTATTACCGGTTAGAATACGTGTGAACCAGGAAGTCTGGGGTGTGTTGCTTTCTAGCAGTCTCCACTAAGTTGATCACATGAAAACTGAAGGCTTGTAATATAGTGCTGGCCTGTGTACCTCAACACATGTGACTCAAGTAATTTTATTTAATTTGCTACAATAGAAATGGCTTTTCCACTCACCACAGATTGGTGTAGTGTCTGTGTCAGAGCTGAATGGTGGGGTGGAAGTAGCTCATAGACTGGGCTAAAGCACCGCGAGATCAGATTTTTTTAAGTGATGGCAGAGTTGTAATCTCTCAAGAAGAGATGAGGTAAAGGGTTCAAAGATGTGCTGAAGCACTAAAAGAATTGAACCACAGCTTGTTTCTTAGGTCTGTCATCTTTTTCTTCCACTAGACAAGTTTTCACATCTTTGTTTTCCAAAGTCACCCACCATTTCCCCACCACAATAGTCTCTGCAAAGTGCTCTGGTTTAACTCAAGAAGCTTGGCCTGTAAAACCATATGTGATTTCTTACCATATGTGGTTTTAGTCTCCTTTTTCCTTAGTATTTTCACTCTGCTAAACTCTTAGAAGTGCTGGTATGAAACTGATCAGCAATACCTGATGTTGTATTGGACTTCATACCATAACACAAAATACTCAGTGAAACAAAGTAGTGGAAAAAAATTACAGCCCCTTGTGCATCTTGCCTAGATCTTCCTAATTGCTTTGATGTGCTCATTTAGTTAAAATGATAAATTTTGGTTTTGCCTTCATGTGCTTTCACCAGTGGTCAAGCCACCCAGTAATTTTCTAGTCCTGTGGACACAGCTGGGTAGCAGTGTTCATGGGAAGGATCCTTGTCTGAGGTACACACTTCGGATGGCTCTAGGCTTTTATTAAATCACCTTTGTAATTTAAAGGCTAGAGGTCCTTTAAATTGGTTAAGCTTACCGTCTTGCTGCATAGCAGAGAAGTTAGTGCTCCAACCCAAGCCTTGAAGAAATGCATGAAGAGGCCAGGCTTTTCCCAGCCTCTTCAGAGAAGAGGCAAGTGTCAATTGTCCACCAGTTTCAGGGAACATGAGCTTGAACCGATGGAGGGAAATGCAGACAGTGGCATCTTAAGAGTGCACAGCTTTTATAGCTTCTCTTACAGAATCTGCAGTGTTGTAGGGGGAGAGCACAAGGGCTGAAGGAGGGAATGAGCCTGAAACAGTGTGGTTATGTGATCACAGACATGAGCAGGCAGTGATTATCTCAGTGCATCCTCTTAAGCATTATGGTAGCTAATTCATTCAAAATCAGGAGAATGGCTCAGAAAGCAACTGGATGATTGCTGATGGTCAAATTTATAGCAGTGACAATTCCTTCTGACAGATCAGCTCAAAGAGCAAGCCTTCTTGAAGGACAGTCAGTCAGTCCTGCTGCTGAAACCAAAGCTGATTCCCATGTTCTGGGGAATATACGGATACGTGAATCCTTAGGGAAAATTTAACAGAAGACAGCTGGGCTGCTGGATGGTCTGTGTGCACAGACACCTCTGAAGGAGGAGGTGGAGAATGAGGGAGGGATTGTCTGACACTCAGCTGGTAAAGTCCACCTGACCAGAGCTCTGTGTGCCTGATTTATGTTTAGCTAACACACAGGGAAAATTCTATAGCACCTGCCAGTAACACCCTTGTGTCCAGAAAGCCTGGTAATCAGTGTGTTCTGAAATACTTTTGGAGGGCTAAAATACAGGGCTTCCTGTGGTGATTGGTAACTTGGACAACTAATCAGTGAAGTAGTTTCCAAATGCTGTTAAATCAATATCTTGCACAGTGAGATTCTGCATTTATTGGAAGCAGAGAGTGTGACCCAGGTATTTTACAAAGACAACACCATCCTGTTTCCTAGTTCTTTCTCTTCATAGAAGGAACCAAATTATAGATGTTTCTGGGAAAATGATCTTTACATTCCTTCCTTGAATACGTGTTTTTTAGAGAGAAAGTTTAATGGATTAAATAGAGAAAGCTTGATTATTTTGGTGAAACATTATAAAAAATTATGTTAAACTGCTGGTGAGGAAATTACTTTCCTCAGCTATTGCGCTCTGCACTCATTCAGGTGTTGAATTATGAAAGCTGGTGACATAGTTCTCCGTCTGCTTTCTTTAAGGCCTCTAATCTGGATACTTTAGTGTTAGTAGATGCTTCTTTTTCATGAAGATTTTGTGGATAGGGTCTGAAAGTTGTTCAAAATATACCTGGAAAGTACAAATCACAAGCTTACATTCATTACCTTCACTATGCAGGTACATTACACATATTAGCATATTATACAACTGGGTGGTGGTACATAAACTTCAGTAGGGAAAGATGTCTCATTGTAGAAAATATATTTAGATTTACAGGCACCTTTACATCTTCACAGTCTTTTTCAATGTGTTCCTTGAATCCTCATATGAGGCAAACTAGGTTACTGCTACCTTCATTTTTGCAGATGAAGAAAAATGCTAAGGGGTTCCAATGCCTGCAGCTACACCGAAAGCCAGTGGAATTGTTAGGATTAGCTCCTGGTTAGTCAGCTAGTGTGAGGCATCATCTGGAGACTACTGCTCTGCATCCCACACCAGCAGCTTTTTCATCACCCTCTACTAGAAGGCACAGAGCTCTTTGCTTTCATTAATAGTTAGTGCTTTAGCTTTGGTTTGGTTTTCTCTATCAGACGGCAAAGACAACAAAGTCAGAGTTTGGGCCTTTTATGTTTAAAATATTGAGTAGGAGAGGTGGAAACTGAAAGACAGCAATGTTATATACTGTGTGTTTGGAAAGAGCTTTCTTTCTTTTGCTTTGCTCTTTGCAACAGTGACCAGATAAAGTTGCCCGTTGTGCTGGGGTTTAGCCATCACTGCATGTCCCAAGTAGAAGTATATTAGAGCATATCTCTGCCTGGATGACTGTAGATTTTCTTCATCTGTCAGTCAGTGGCCACTTGTGGAAGTGGGAATGGCCAGATGTGGGCCCAAGCCAAAGTTGCTGTCTCGGTATTTCTCTGCCAGCAATACTTCATGGCTGGCTGACAATTGGGATGGGTCAGAAGGACTGAGTGTTTACAGCCTTCCAGGAAGAGTCACACCAAGAGTCTTGTGTTCTCAGACTCTGCCCAGCAGAGGGCTTGTTTGTCCAGAGAAAGCAAAATGCTTTCTGTGCACTGGCCTGTGTAGGACTGGCTGCCTTGCCAGCACCCTTGATAGTCTCTGTAAGGGGGGGTGGGCGGTTTATGTCCCATCTAAGTAAGGGTGGGTTTGAAACTACTCTATTCTAAGCACAGACTGCTTCCCTGGACTTTGAGGTTTGCAAAGGCTGACTTTTCCTTCTGGGCTGGGCCTGTGTGTATGTCCCCAGTCTCCCTCTCACACACAGATTGGTTTTGTCAGATTCAGGCCTAATCACTTTCAGTTTAATACCTTGAACTGGTCGGTTTGCTCTGTCAGCAAACAAGCCTGCTTAACCTGTTTGGATAGACCATCTTTTTTTATTGGTTTGCTCATCACCTGACATAGCGGTGTCCTGACATAAGACAGGCTCCTAAGCACAGGAAGTCATTAATAGGCACAAATAACTGCTCATTCAGCCTTTGGTACTGATCTTCCTTTCAGCTAAGCATTGCTAGAGCAATTACAAAAAATAAATAATTTCCATTTATAGTCATGGAAATGCTCCCCTATGCTCCTTTGTACTTTATTCCAGTGATAAACTCAGAGGCAGGGTTTTGGAGATGTCAGTCTTGATCCCTGCAATACGTAAGAAGAAATTGTGAGTCCAGCAGCACTCACCAGTTTTCTGGTGATGCAGACATATGTTAAGGATAACTGATGATATTTAACCAAGAGTGGAAAGTCTAAAACCTAATTGCTTCCCTCAGCATGGCTGAAGACAACTCAGTACAGCAGTAGAGCTCTTAAGCAGACAGGAAACATGGTGATCCTTGTTTCTGTATTTATTACTTTTTAGTATTTCCACACTAATGCAGTCTGTGATTCTAGCTGGCCTGTTTATTATACCCTTCTGGTCCTTTGTAAGTCTTGTCAGCAATTTCTTAAGATTTTCTGTGGCTACCCCTGTCAGTTACCATTTTTTTCCTCTGCTAGACACATTCATTTCTCTCAGTTACACTGTGTTGCTTTTCCAGGTCCACTTCTTCCTTCCCTCCCATTAGTGTTCCATCCTTGAAATATCGCTTACCTGAGCTACTTGGTTATGCCACAACAAGTGTGCCTTAATGAAGCTCTATTTCAATACTAAACAACATGCAATTGCATTTTTTGACAGATGCAAGCAAGACTAGGATCAGAAAGTTACTTTTGGGAACCCTCAGAATATGTTCAGCTGAGAAAGGTCGTTACATTATTGGATAGCGCAGCGTCACCCTGAAGAACTCGGATTCATTGATGAGGAAGTTGGGGGTAAATTTTTGCAGCACTTAAACAGTTCTATTATTATTGAAGAGTGATATAGATTGTGAAGAGTGCAACAAGCTGAGTCAAATGAAATGCTGGTGATTCCAGCCTGAGCCGAAGCCTGATGACATGAGTGAGGGATGCTGCCTGATTTTGGTGAAGACTAGGTAAGCAACAGCAGCACCTGATGAGTGCACATTGAGCAGTCTCAGTCCAGAGCTCTCTAAGGGGACAGGTTAAGGCAAGGGGATGGAAGGCTCCTCTGCTTTAACCCACAGAGACCGCCTGCATCTTGCATGTGTCAGCTTGCCACATCCTCAGGCTCTGACCCAGTGGAAGGCAATTAATTGGCACAGTCCTCCCAGAAACTTACTTTTGCCACCAGGCTGTAAGGGTCAGAAAAAGAGGGTAAAGCAGATGAGTGATGACTGGAAAAAGGCTTCTTTTGTGGGCCATGGGGCTGCAAGATGAGTTGCCAGTGCTGTCTTGGAACATGGGTTTGAGCTGTGCTTGTGGGAGCACTTCAGTTCTTTTAGCTCTGGAGAGTTCTTATTCTCTGCTCCTGTGGGACAGCCTGACACTCCGGCTCAGTGCTGGGAAGTGCAGATGGCACCTTAAATACAAGATGATAATTAGACCCCAGTGAGGCTTTGGTTCTCACTTTCCAAGGGAGGCCTTGAGACTTCAAAATAGTATTACCCTGTGCTGGTGCTTCTCAGACCATCTGAGAAGGCAACCAGAAACCCCAGAAGTAAGAGTTTACCACTGAGGAGCAGTCTGTGTGCTGCTCTGTCTAGGCCTGGAATGTGTCCTGACCTCCACAGCACAGGAAAGTGCCAGGATTTATGCTTGCAAAGGCAGTGCTCTCAATCTGACTGGAGCTCCTTCCCTTGGGATGAATGGTAAAAAAACAATTGGAACCTGAGCTGACCCACGGTTTCACACGTGCCAGATGAGAGCCTGACCCTCAAGTTAATAAGGCTGGTTTTGTCCAAACCAGTGAATTCAATGTCTGTCTAAAGAGGATCACTTCCAAAGAAGGAGGTTGAGAAAGGTATGTCAGGAAAATGCCTATTCTGTGCTAGTGAATATTTTTATGCATGGTCAGGACAAGCATAATGCCAAACTGGATGAGGCTTCATCTCCTCTCAGTGGTTCACACCCAGATAGAATTTATACAGGACTTTTCCCTCACTCAGAGGACATAAATCTCCATCAGACAGCAGTTCACTCCCTCCCAGTTCTGTGATGTTCAGTATGCATTGTGCATTCCATGTAAATATGCCATTATAGGTTCATGTAGATGCGTCACTGAAGATTTCTTGCTTGCTTTTGATACAGCAATGAAAGCCAGTGCTGGGTCTCCTTCCTCCTCCCTGACTCTTATCTGTGTTTTTCTTTTCTGTCAGCTATTTCCTACAATATTGGTTTCAAGTGGCAGGAGATCTACCTATGGGATTTCCTAATGCATACACTATAGTGAAAATTACAGGCTTCTCTTTGACAATCAAATTGATTTCAGAAATATCCCCATAAGTAATATTTACAGCAAGTAACAAAATACACTTTGCAGATCCCTATAAATATGACAGCTTTTCAAAACCAAGACCATTTTCATGAAGAACAAAGCAAAACACTGAATCACAGCTAGGGATCTTACTGGTCTGACATAAAATGCATTATTTACCAGCAAGTGTTAGCTTTCCTGCATCTCATAATTCACATAATGGGTGGGAATTGTGTCCTTAATTATTTTGCAGTTAGTGACTGGACTTGGAATTGAAAAAAATTCAAAACTCAGATGAAGGAGTAATGATCTTACTGATTCCAGCTGAGTTACAGATTTCAGTTGCAAGTATATCTGTTGAAATATTTTCATCTCATTAGTAGTCAGATGATGATCAACAATTTTGCCATAGTGTTCTGCTTTATTCTGACATGGCAGGGGAGAGGTGTTATACAGATCTAGAACAATCAGTTTCTGTATAGTGGGCATGGTAAACCTCACCAGTCCTCTCACAGCACTGCAATAGGGTAGATAAAAACCCAGTCACACCTTTCCATTAGAACAGAAGCTGATTGCACATCAAATGTTGCTCCTCAGCTCTGTGCTAAGTCTTCCAGAGTGTCTTTGTGACTTAAAGGCTTGTCACAACTCCAGCTGAAATGAAGTTTTCCTCTCAAGAGAAGGTGGTCCAAGCCATAGCTGTAGAAGTTCAAGGCAATTATTTTTGTACCTAATCACCAGTTTTTGAAAATTATATCGTTTGGGTGTCAGACCAAGAATTTGACTTCTGATATAAGCCCCTTTTAAAATGTCTCAAAACCTTTCCCAAAACCCAAACTGCTGGTTTTTTTTTATTAAGTGCTCACCATTTATACACGACTGACCAAAAATGCTTTCCTTTGGGGATGCTATATTTTTGTCTGCTATTAATTTGTTAATTAATTCCATATGTTTGTTTATTAATTAGTAAACCAGTAGTAGTTTATTGCAGTGCCTACAGGTCTAGTGTAAATGACATGTAATGAAAAATAACTGTATTTACAATATGCCAAACAAGTGTACAAAGGTGTGAACCATTAAAAGATATGATTCACAAGAAAGTAATTTTTGTACAGTGCCTCTGAAAGCATAGGTACTTAAGCTTCAGGGCTTCTTGGTCCCCAAAACTCAGTGTCCTTTCTCCTAGCTATGCTTGCTGGGGAGGAAAATCTATCCTATAGATGTTACCAGCCTCCAGTGAGGAAAAAAATCTTCACCAGCTCTTCCCTTGGAAGATCTGGTTGTGATGAAGGAGACCACTGCTCCCCAGCTCTTCAGAAAAAAAGCAGTATTCATCCCCAAAATGGGACCACAGCATGTGGTCTGCCTTCCTCTGCCCTGTCCTGTCTTTCCACTTTTTTTATCTTGTTTAAAAGCAGCTAAATTTGTTCACGTCATCCTAGAGACTTCTTGGGATGCTGGATGCTGAGAGCAGACAGAGGGCAGAGTTGCTTTATCTTAGATGCCAAGATGGAAAAACTTCCTGAAAGCATTTAGTGAAGGAGACAAAAGTAAAATTTTCACAGTGCTCCAGGTTTCTTCATCAGCTTGAAGATGACAGCTCTGAGACAGCAGATCCCCACCCTTGGCTCCTTGTACCAGACATTCCTCATGCCTCTGACCTGGTGCCAAACCACCAGGTAGAGGGGTGACTTGTCCTCTCTTGCTGTCAGGGCTCTTGTATGCACGTGTACTTGTAGAGAAGGCACTACCGGCAGAGCTTGTGCTCATGGGAGATCTCGCCATAACAGTCTGTGTTCTGCCTGTTTTCTTGCTTCCTGCTACCATTCTGGCAAAAAAATAACCTGTTCTGAGAGTCTCTGAGCAATTCAATGTCATCAGACTCTATGCCTGCCTTCTCCTGCAAGGTTTGCATGTTCAGGTACTGGCTGCAGTATTTCCCCCTTGCAGAGCAGGGCTGTGGGGCTGTCACTTCCCAGGCATCCTATCCTCCACACCTCTTCCTCATCAACAAGTAACCAGCCACTGTGAGAGCAGTCACCAGACATGCCAGCCTTGCTCAAGACTTTAGGCTTATTCTTCAGCTTTCTTGTGGAAGAGCTGAAGGTGTTACTGGTGGTGGAGAAAGCTGCCACTGGCATTCCTGAGGATCTGACCCAAACCTCGATGTATAGTGCAGAATGATGTGGCTACAAAGCCAGACCCATTTGTATTCTTCATGGTGATGCAGAAGTTCTCCATGCGCTCACTCGCCTTTGCTTCTGGGATCTGAAATAAGAAGAAGGGGAAAGGTGTTTATTTCAAAGTAGTTTTGGAAAGGAAGTGCACCACAGGTGGGGAAAACACGTTTAGGGCTTCTCTGTGCTCTCTGTGAAGAACCCTGCAGCAGCTTCCATGCTTCCCCAGAAATTTGTTTCTTGGCAACCTTAGAGTTTTGGGAAGAGGCTGCAATGAAATGCTGTGGTGTAAGGGATGTTCAAACAAATCATATGCATTTCACTTGCTGGTGCCACTTTTGCACCAGATGTAGAAATCTAGATTCAGAACAAAAGAGCCAAATTCCTGGCTTTTTTTGAAGTGAGTGAAAGTTCCAGTTGCACTGAAGTGTGACTGTGCAAATGTGTGTGACCTACCACTTGGGTGTAATACTCTGTACTTTCACAGCAATGTGGTACTTATGGAAATGGATACTTTTCAGGTGAAGAAGGAGAAGAAGGCGAAGGAGAAGTAAGAGGAGAAAAATAAGAAGCAGTAGCAACTTCTTTTAGCCATGAGATGTCAGTATTGCAATCAGACTGCCAGTCTGGCTGCTTTTGCTTGCCAGTATCTTAGATAAACCTAACAGAGAAATTTAGTAAAAAAAAAAAAAAAAAGCAAGCAGGGTTTTTATACTTTGGATCTTAGCCAAAGTCCTTTTTTTGGGGGTGATGTCTTTGATGTTTCTGGGAGCTTATTTTTGGAGAAAAGTTCTCAAATGTCTGAGGTTACACTGGAGAGCTCTAGAAGCAGAAGCCATACCTTAGGGTAACAGCAGGAGATTTTCCACATAGATCATGAGACTAAGGTTGTGTACAAGCATTATGTACAAGGAAACCTTTAGCATCATGCTGGGTTTCAAAGCTACAGGCTTAACCATGAAGGAAACAGGATATAAATTAGAAAAGGTTACAGTTTTATTGAGAGAAACTTGGAAAATCCCTGAGGCCACAAGGACATAAAGAAGGTTGAAAATCCTTCTCCTTTAAATTTTTTAACTTCATTTCACCAGAAGGACTGGCTTCCAGCACTGAAAAAAACCAGTATTCTGCAAAGTTTTCTGGCCTTAGCGATGTCCATGTAATCTCTAGGTCCTTTGGTCATGCACCAGTACCTCCACACACTGAGAGCTCAGGAATAGCCTTGGTGGTGTTGGGGCTCACGGCACTGATACGCAAGTACTTGAAGTCAACATCAGAATTAAATTGTTGAGCTTAGTTGAATATGATAGAAAACAAATAAAGAAAGGGAATAAAAATAGCTTGTCCTAGTGACACTCTGCCACCATTGCTGAGTAGTAGGAATTTACATGTTTTTCACAAAATATGAAGAATTTAAGAAACATGATTTTCCCTGATGCTTTCTGGTGAGTTTATGTGCTGAAAACTCAGAGGCACCAACATGAGTTACCCGAGGGTTGCTGTAAAGCTAAAAATGTATTGCCACACAGAGCCAGTAATAGAGGGAGCAACACAGCATCTTTTGCCTTGCTGTAGAAACCGTGGGAGGATGGCAAAGATTTTTCCTTTTTTAATTGGCTCTGGCACCAGCAAAATACTCTCTATTCTCTCTATTCCTTTATTGGCTGACACTGTGCTGCCAGCACATCTCTCCACCACAGGTGTCTGTGCAAGCCAAACAGGCAATGCTAGTCAAGTAGCATTTCCACCCATACACACTTTCTTCTCCCTGTTAGGCACAACAAAACAAGATCCTGTTGCTTCAGTGGACCAAAAGCAGGTGCATTGGGATGAATACCATGAGTTAAATGAAGACAAGCAGTGTGCATTTCATAAATGGAGAGCTTCAGCCCTATAGGCAGGAACTAAAAGCAGAGGATTGATGGAGAATTTTTTAATAGATATTCAGACACTTAGTATCCTTTTTGAAAGGGTAATGCATCTTTACGATACTACTATAATTTTATTATATCCACTATACTTTAAAGTCTACTTTTTTAGGGCTGAAACTAATGGGATTTTGCAGCCCAATGACTTCAGCAGTGAAAAGTTGATCTGAACATCCATGGACTGTAATCCCCACAGTGACTATCTCAGTGGGCAGGAAAAGGGGAAAGGTGGTACATTCAAGGTCAGTGGGAGGGACATGCTGGATTTCTTCTAACCTTTGATTTTTTTGGTACTGCTGACTGTTATTGCAGCCCCAGAGGTGTAATGCTGCACACTGGGAAGACTGATTTTAAAAAAGAAGTTTATATTGTTGCAGATTTTGCTGTTTATATAGTATATCAAAGGTAAGGGAACTGCATAAACTCAGCTGAAGGACCCACTGCAAGAAAATCAAGCTGGAAAGAGAAACAGAAGAGCCCTACCAGGCTAACAATGCAGGCCCATTGTCTAATCCTCTGAGCTCTGGACTCTTCTATAACAGGAGTCCTCAGTCTATGGTCTACACATCCCTGACATCTCAGGGTCTCATCCTGAAGACTCCAAGAAAGATTGCTGGAAAAAAGCTACACATGGGGCCATATGTGATAAATGCACTTTACTGTGCAAGTCTGTCAAGGGACAGAAGTCTCATGAACTGAAGGGACCCACCTCTTCTGCACACTGGAACTAGTCAGTGGAGAAAACCAGAATTTCCTTCCATCTGAAAGGTAGGCTGCAAGCATTTTTCCTAAACTAAGCTGTGTTTAAAACCTTTGGTCATGGCAAATGTGCCTCCTCTGTCTGTGGCAGCCTGGCAGCCACTTGATGAGCTATGAGCTTGGTGAGTTATTAGGTGGACAGAGAGAGGCCAGGGTGCTCACAGAAATGATGAGCTGCTCTCACCAGCAGTCTCTTGTGCCCTTGGGTCGTGCTACACCCCTCTCACAGCCACTGTTCGGGCACTGCTTGCCCCCTACCCACTCTCCATAGAGTTTTGTACTTCCCAGGATGTTTCTCTGCCCAGTCTATGGATCAGTAACATTCCGTCCCATATTTCCCCACAAACTGCTTGCCATCTTATGAGTTGTGAGCTACTAGCGCACAGTAGTTTATGCAAGGACTACTTCTAAGAGCACCCAGAGCATTTTGGGAAACAACCTGCTAAAATCAAGATCCTAAATATACAACACCAGTTGTCCGGAAAGATATAACAGTTCCAGCCTCACAGTGCAATTAATCCTACTTAATTACCTTCTGACAGGCCTTGGCGTGAAAGGTTGTTTCTTGAATTACAGTATCACTCAGGCAATTTATTGAACTGCAACAGGAGACAAAGACTTAGATTGCTTCTGGCTTCCCAAGGCAAGGTTTATCATGTGCTAGGAAATTTAAGTCCTAGTTCCCACTTTTTCCATATTCCAGATTTTCAAAAGTGTTGTGTCTGGTTTGAGCTGAGCTCTGACACTTGATAGCCTGCAGTAACAGCTTCTAATTAGTGCCACTCGCTCCTGAACAAAACAGTGAGAACAGGGTACATGGGTGGTCATTCTGGAATGCTTCACACCACATGCACAGCCATGAACATTAAAGTCTGTATCAGTTTTTCCTTTGCTTCCCACTGCACACCTTTGTGTCAACACCTCAGCTGGTGCACATGGATGGGATAACCCAGGTCAGGCCAGATGCCCAGCAGGGGGTCACCTCTGGCCAAGAGCGCTGAGACCTCCCAGCTGAGAATGAACCTCTTAGTCTGGACAGCAGATGTAGAGAGAGATAAAAATTAAATATCATTGACCAAAAGACACTGCTTTACAATATATAATCTACACAAATTTCCACTGAAACAGAAGCCTCCTACGCACTTTCTGGAAATGTGCAGGGCTTCCCCCATGATGTTTGGAGGCATCTCCATGGATACTTTTCCAGAAGCTGAGAGGAAGGGTCCTGTGTATGCCCCACCAGAAACTGAATGGTAAGATGCATTGAATCCTAATCTATACTATTCCTTCAGTAGCTGTAAGACAGGGGCCTCACTCTCGTGCTGTATTGTCTTTCTGCTAGTACTCTTTCTTTGCTTATCCCGTGTAGTAAATCATCTGTTAAAGTCTTGTGTCATTTAAATTTGTGTCTAGCAAATAAATGGTTCGTTTAGTAATAGACTTAATCAACCATTATTAAGAATTTGCAATGAGAGTGGTCTTTGGGGTGCTGGCCACCTCAGTAAATGCACTGTCTAAAGCCAAAGGGCTGGAAAAGACAGAAAGAAACTGGTTTAAAACTCCCCTCTCCATTCGTAACAACCTTGTCCTCATAAACAACAAAAAATAGCATGAATTGCTCTAGGGCTTGGATGTGTAGCGAGCTCAGAAAGTGATGGCTGCTGCAATCAGCATGCAGCTCTAATGCTTGCAGAAAAGGAGTCTTAGCCTAACAAAATAAAACTGAAATAAAAATACAGTTTGTGATGGCAAGCTTGTATCAGCTACCATCTGTAAGGGTGTTCTATCACCAGAAGGCTGGAATAAGAATTATCCTGCTTTCAACTCCTCCAGGAAATACAGCATCCTTGCTTATGGGGTTTTGGGGGCTTTCTGGTTGGTTGGTTGGTTTTGTGTTTTTTATTGGCATAAATTGCATTTTTTCTGGTCCCAAAGAAAACAGTTTATCACTTTCATTCTTGGACAGTGTGGAAGAGTCCTGAAAAGACTGGGATCTTGGTTCAATACAACACCAGCTCATGGGCTCTGTTTAAAGATAAGGGTATTCCCATCCTGCCTCCATCACTGATTTCAGTGGCTGCATACCAAACCACAAAGCTCTTTGCCCAGCATTGCCTCTCAGGAGCCAGATGATGCTCCAAGCATTTGAAATTATATCTGAATACATCATGGAGTAGTTGGAGTACTGTTGGGGCATCACCAGGACATACTAGCAAAACTAGACCCTTACTGAGTGTACAGAGGAATACTTACCGGGACCTACCAGACAGAATTTGGAAAAGCATTAAGCAGCCAGGAACACATGTCCCTATAGCCAGAAGAGCCATGCAATCACTGGTTCCGTGTTATAAACATATCAGCACTAAGTGATTCTAGATCAAGTCCCACAAGACTGAATTTTTATGTGTGCAACTGACAGGCTGCCTGTGCAAACTCAGTGCCACTGTAGGAATATGAGAAACTGATAAAGGAGACCTTGACCTAAATCTGAGTCCGGCTCCCTTATCCCTAAAATGCTTTTGTCTCCCTCTTCCTGGATCTTCCTGGAGGGTTTATTTTCTAACCATACTTCAGGGGATGCAGGCCAGTTATGTGAACACACAACACCTGAGCTTCCTTACCTTCAGTAAGGCAGGTTCCTTTGGAAAATTTATTTCTGTTTTTGGTTCAGCTGATGCCATACTCATAGCAGAAACCCTGAAAAATCACACAACACTGCCATCTGTGCAGGCACAAGCCCTCTTGCCAAACGTCTGTCACTGAGATGATACAGGAAGAAAACAGTTATATTTTCTTGCCAAAACATGCACACATCCTACATCTATGCAAACAACTGTGCTATTATCTGATGGCTGGTGAGTGCTCCATGCCAGACCATTTAAGTTGAAACGCACATGGTAAATGTCTGGACGCCTAATGATCTGCTCCATGCTGATGCCAGGAGTTGCACCGTGCATGTGTTTGGTGAGGGAAGGAGAGGAGAGTTGTCAGATAAGCTAATAAGGTGCCATCAAAACTAGTTAGATCTCAGCTCTGAAGTCTCTTTCCATTTCTGCATGCTTCTTCTAGAGCATAGGCAGTTCCTCTTGCAGAGCCCATTGCTGATCATAATGCAAATCAGCAGTCACCTTCTCAGTGGCACTACATCAGAAAAACCAGTGTCTATATTCATTCTCCCTCTATGGAGGCAAAAATACTAATCTTCCCCCACAACTACTGTAGATAAAGAAGATAAAGATATCTGCAGTATCTGGAAGTTCCTAAAATCCACAGATTCTGCTCATGTTCAACTGTCTCTTACTAATTTTTGTGCTAGCCAGGAATCTGGTGTGTGACACTGACACACACCACAGGCTCCTGCCAGATCCCAGTGTTGTCCAGAAAGGACAAGGAATGTAGATGCTGTTTAGAGGCCACCCAGCTCTCATTGGGTGAGCCAGGACACACTTCCTGCTGGCCTGCAAGCATCAGGGGCCTGATGCAGAACCAATGTGGTCTGACCAATTTCTGGTCTGCTGAAGAGTTTCATAACCACTTTTTAAACTGTGTAAACAGACCTGTCTCCAGGAGGGGCTCCAGACACATGAGACTGAACAACACAGATGCTGTGGAGAGATGACCCCCACAGCAGATGGCATTGCAGAGGAGGGTACAGCCTTTGTAGCACGGGCAATGTTTTTCTACTCAATCATTTCTTCATATGACCCTTTGCACACAAGAACTTCTGGCCACCCTGAGCCTTCAGGGACATTTCTGAGTGTCCTTCACCAAGGTCCAGATATACAGAAATCTCCTTCCAAAAACAGATGAATGGCATCATCTTATATGACAGAGTTAATGGTTCCATCCTATGGCTAGTGGCATCTTTCTCCTCAGCGCTCAATGCTTTTCCCTAGGTACCCATTTAAAGCACATTTTTTCTCCAGTCATTTTTGCATGGTGTTTGCATGGTGTGCACGTTTTTGCATGGTGTGGTGGTTTAAAAATAGCTTGGAATTAAACTCCAGATAAGGTGTTCCTGTTCCCCCCACTCCTGTTCCAGTGAGAGAGGGACAAATGTTGCAATAACAATGGTTGAGATAACAATTTACTGAAAACAAACAGCAATGAAATAAGAAACACAGAAAAACAACGCAATACTAATAACAAAAGTATGCCAAAGAGAAGGTCCTTTACAGACAAGAGGTGTTCAGCACCTCAACTCAGCGTGTTTGGCTGCTGAGACGAAGACAAGATGGCAGATGCTCTCCCCAGGTGGCATTCTCAGTCCCCAAGCAGAAGACAGTGAAAAAAAATTATGGACAAACCTCCCAAAAGCTGGAATAGTCTGTTGTATCATGTGATTTCGACTGCTGGACTCAGCTGTGTGTAATAGCATCAGCTTGACTCAGGTCTTCTCCACTGGGCTTGGCTCAGCTGGGCTCAGGCTCAGGCTCAGGCTCACTTTCATTCCCCATGGCTCTTCCCACACTGTTGCCATGGTGCTCTGCTGGGCTCAGCTGTGCTTGCTGCTTGGAGTTGCATTCTTCCTGAGGGACAGGAAGGGACAGGCAGTGGCAGGAGAGCAACAAAGTCTGCCGTGGTGGTGCTGGAAACTTCCCTGAGGAAGAAACGGAACAAAACTGTGCTCCTTCTGCAGTGTGTTCACTTTTTCTCCTGCCGAAGCCACAGCCCAGCGATGATGGGGATGGTATAGCATAGCAGCCCAGCTATGCCTGCATGGCCACAGGCTCCACCCCTTCTCAGCCCCCACAAGCAAAACTAGGAGACATGGTGATGAGTGTGACTGAAAGTTATTGCTAGTACATTAGGAGTTTTGAGATGAATAATCATAGAGTCATAGAAATGTTTGGGTTGGAAGGGACCTTGGAGATCATCTAGTTCCAACTGTCTGCCACGAACAGGAGCACCTTCCGCTAGACCAGGTTTCTCAAAGCCCCATCCAACCTGTCCTTGAACACTTCCAGAGATGGGACATCCACAGCTTCTAAGTGCAACTTGTGTCAGTGTCTCACTACCCTCACAGCAAAGGATTTCTTCCTAACATCTAAACTAAACCCACCCTATTTTGGTTTAAAGGCATTCCCCTTATCCTATCACCCCATGCCCTTGGAAAAAGTTCCTCTCCACCTCTCTATTAGAACCCCTTTAGGTACTGCAAGATACCCATGAATCTCCCCAGAGCCTTCTCCTCTCTGAACCTTCTCAGCCTGTTCTTGTAGAAAGGTGCTTCAGCCCTCTAATCATTGTCATGGCTCTTCTCTGGACTTGCTCCATCAGGTCCACATCTTTCTTATGCTGGGGGCCCCAGAGCTGGGTGTAGTGTTCCAGGTGGGGTCTCACCAGAGCAGAGCAGAGCAGAGCAGAGCAGAGCAGAGCAGAGAGGTAGAATCCTCTCCTGCCTCTGCTGCCCACGCTGCTTTGGCCCAGGACACGTTTGGCTTTCTGGGCTGTGAGTGCCCATGGCCAGATCATGTTCAGCTTCTCACCCACCAGCACCCCCAAGTCCTTCTCACAGGGCTGCTCAAAATCCATTCTCTTCCTAGCCTGTGTTTGTCTTTGGGATTGCCCCAGTCCGGGTGCAGCACCTTGCACTTGGCCTTGTTTAACTTCATGCATCAGCCCACTTCTCACGTGTCCCTTCCCTCCAGAGTGTCAACTGCACGTCACAGCTCAATGTTGTCAGCAAACTTGCTGAGGGTTCTCTCAATCCTGCTGACACTGATAAAAATGTTAAACTGCACTGGTCAAAATACCTGTCCCTGAGAAACTCCACTCACATCATGCTACATGCAGGGTTTTGCCTTAAAGCTCCTCCAGGTGTCATTTCCTTCGCATTTTTTAGAGAAGTAGCAATAAGCATCTCATGTGCTGCCAGTCTTGTGTGTGCATTCTCTTTCTGTATGAATTTGGACCTTGGAACAAAGTGTCCATGCACGAAGAGCCACATTTTCTTATACATTGCCATCTTACTTAGCCACCTTTTATTTATTTTTTCCCTTCTAATTAGTCTTGAAAGATACCAGCGGTGAAGGTTGTAACACAGTAAGCCATCAGGCTATACCATAAAGAAATGTTATGGATCATTTCAGGAATAGCTGCCTTTTTCCATTTCACTTTGGCGCACACTGCACCAAATCAAACCACCAGAGAATTACAGATCCCACTTTGCCACCTTCAAAGTTTATCTGGAGGCAACATGTCATAGTGTCCCTCAGAAGCTTCTGCATTAATTGCAGTCACAATACCCTTCAGCAATGTTGTGAACACAATGTTCAGATATATTTAGCCACAACTGAGCTCAGAAGATTCTATCACTTTTGTGAGACCACCCTGGGGAAGCACTCTGGATTGCCTGAGCCAAATTCCTCCTGCTATATTGAAGGCCTCATAATGCAAGACTGCACCCAGCATGTGCACACCACTGCTGGTTATCCAGCGCTGGCTGTGGGAGCATGGCAGTTCTTCAAGTTCTTCTTCTTCTTCAATCTTCTTAGATTAATCTAAGTTAATCAGTGTACAAAGGACAAAGTGAAAGAAGCTGAGTTACCAGAATTTTGCCAATTTGCTTACCTGAATCTGCATTAAACACCTTAACCATTAACCACGCACTGCACACTGACTTTCAGACCAACAGAAGCTCATTAACTTATACCTCTGTGAAGCCAGTTTAATCCAAGCTATAAAGTTTAATCCAACACATTTACTGTGCATGTGTAACAGATAGTGAAAGCACCTGGTAGCACCTGGCCATGACCTGTCCATGCCTCACTTCCCTGTCTCTTCATCCAAAGGTCTTCCCTCCACTTGTCACTGGAAAAACAGCAGGATCTTTGACAGGATACTTTTTACATATTTTGTGAGCACAGTCCAGCTGCTAGCACCAAGCACCAAGAAGGGATTTTATTTTTTTTAGCAGAATTTGCCAGGTGGTGGAAATGCATTCCCAGAATACCTGGTGAAAAGCAAGTTCCTCTATAACTCACCCATGATGTCACTTATCTCTTACTATCCTGCACTATCATGCATTGATGTCCTAAAAACAACACACACTGCTGCTCCCTAGATACCACTTTTTGGGGGGATTTGGCTTTTTCCTTTTTCTCATGTTCCTTTGGCAGAAGTCCAGACACTCCCACCTTCTCCAATTGGGATCTTTCACTTTCACAATATAGGGGCTTTATTAGCTTCAGTTTTCTGGTCTTATAATTTTAAAACCTCTTGAACAGAAAACTTCACATCTGACAAGCCTGTCTTAAAAGATGCATATTCTTGGATTCATACTTTATTCTAGATGAACTTTAAAACAAAACAATGTGGAAAGCGGACCTTACTGCTGAAATTCTGCATGCAAAATAAACTATTTCAGGCCAAATTGTGCCTTGGAATTGAAGCTCAGGAAAATTACTTCCAAAAAGCTCTCCAAAATGGCTCTAAGAATGTAGGCTTTCAGTCCTACTATATTGAGATTAAATGAACACATGGTTCAAGTCAAGCTTGCTTTTAAGTACATTCCTGAGCAGGGAAGGACTTATTTAAGCAATTGTTTAAACGTTTTCCTGAAACACAACCCCAGAAGTTAGGAGGGTATCACAGCATCTATTTCTTGGTCAGCTGACAAAATGCAGCACAGCTACATGAGAACTCCCCAGCTATGCAGATACTCATATGTGAAAAACGTAAGACACAGCTTGTGCTTTTTTTTATACAACATGCTTTGAAATGTCACATAAATTGTTTTCATTTGATTAAAGAAAAGAGTCAATTTTGCAGAAAACAATTTATTAAATACATAAGACTAGGTTGCTACACCTAATTACAGACAAAATACTGTGAATAAAGCATGCACTTACCACAGACATCAATGACTATTTTGATTTATTTTAAATGGTCTTTATTTCTGTAAGTTAAGGCTGTACCAATACAAATTTTAAAAATCAAAAATAACGAAGTCACACTACAGTAGTAGCAAACATTGTACAGACACTGAAACCAATCTCTAATGCAGCAGAACCAGACTTCTTAAAGATTATCATAAGAGAATAAAAATAGAGGTGAAGTGCAATAAAGATCTGAATATTTTTGGAATTTACAGACCAGTGACAGTGAATGTCATACTCCAATTAGCACAAACAGAATCCATTTTTTTCAAAAGCCTAATTATCTGACAACTAAGCAAGAGAGAAAACTAATAAATACCACCTTAAAAAAACCCTCTTGATTTTTTTATCTTCTTCTTATTGAGGGTACTTCTGTACTCTACTTAAAGAACATTTTTCAAGAAGACATTGTGGCAGACAACAGTACAACACACATTTGTTTAGTCTATCCCCATTAAAAAATAGTGGAGTGTCTTGAAGAAGAACAATACATCACAACAAAAAAAAATTTAACTGACACAAGTGACAGACAATGTTGTTGACCATATCGGTCTTCACCAGCAAAGGAATGTATGAAGTTTGCTTCTTAAAAATATGCTGCAGGCATGGCAATATGACATTCACATGGGTCAAAACTTATCCAGCTGATGAGCTGATGAGTAAAAAAATTACCAGCCCTGGAAACACCATTTGATCTGAGGTTCAAAGTAGGTTATGAAATCCTTCTCCATTTACAGCCACAAAGCCTTTTTGCTTGTCTTTCTCCTGGTGCTGTGCAAGTACAAAAATAGGGTAATTTGAGGACAATGGGCTCAAACAGTTAATTGAAAATGGACTAGTTGACAATGTTGCTCACATTTTCAGAAAATGAGCCAGTAATCTTCACCCCAGATTTCTAAATTTGCAGAGCTTAATGCATTAAAATAGATCAAAGTATTACTTCTCCCTGAAATTTCTGTCCACTTAATCTCACAAATGCAGGAGCAAGAGATCTGTGTAAGAAGGTGCCCTGTGTACAGGCAACTGCATTTGGAGTGGATGATACATAGCACTCCTCACGCTAAAATCTCTGCCTTAAATAGCTGATTACAGCTGGGGCTTGCAAGGGGGTCTAAAAAAAGGTAGGTCCCAAATTCCACTTGAGTTTAGATAGATAATTCTTTCCTGCATCCTTTCAGCAGCATAGACTAAGCTGTATTGAAAAGGAAAAAGGAAAGCTGGTCCTGCAATATAATGCACATCACACAAAATATAATTACAGGACTGACAGTATGCACACTGAAGGAATCACTGTGATAGGAAGGTGGTATCTAAACTAGCACACCATTAATATAATTTCATTTGCATCTTGAAACTGATGAATTGTGGCAAAAAGCAAACAAATGCAACTAGAGACTGACATGCTACAGCCAGTAGGCTGATCAGGTCTGCACCTATAGAACCCTTATTGCATTTCCAGTGTGCAAACTAGGAATAAAGGATGTTGATGGCTTTTCTGACTCAAATCTAAGCTGGGGATAATGCCGATATACCTAGCTTCACAATGGAAAATAAGAAGATGGGAAAAAAACAGCTGCTGCATTACAATCTGACTGGTTTTTTGGTGAATTAGGCCAATATATAGAAGTTAGAAAGACAAGTTGGTTAGACAACTAGTGCAATGGTGAGACCACTGAGACGCTGATCTACTTATAAATAGAAGAAATATAAGATGTAAGACCATGCCTTGAATGTTTAATATCAGGACCACACAGGCAGGAACTCTATGGAGTGAAAACTCTTCACTCATATTAGTGGAAGCACATTTTCATGTGTAAATGGCTACTAGACAACCAAAACAATGGACAACTGCACTGTAACTGGTCCCATCTGGCTCCTCTCTGGTAAAGCAAGTCTGACGAAGCTTCCAGTTTTTAAAGGAAAATTACAGGACCTAACATTTCTGAAGAGAGCCCTATATTCCCTGCAACTGATAGAAACTGAGGTGCTGCAAAAGGCTTCACAATATTATATCACCTGTGGAAGGTTTTAATCTTCAGCTGGGGTTTTCAATTCATCGGGTTTTGGAGGACCAGCTTGCAACCTACTACACAGGATGATTTTCAGTGTATTCTGTATGCTTCCTTTAATATTGCCTTTTGTAAATGTCCCGGGTATCACTAAAAGGAACAACTACATTGAAAAGTCTGACATAAACGTTAACTTTTGAAAGTGTTTTACTTCACAAGGCCTGTCAATTTTCTGCTTGCAGACAGAGATGACTTCAGACCAATACTTCTAAGGATGAACCCAATGTACTTGTCCCAGACTGCATGGTAAGATGTATTCCATTTGCCATCTGTATGGCAATTGTCTTCTGTTAAGTGAGCAATTGTCCTTATCTTTTCCACACCCACTCCTCCCTCCAGGGGGACATCTGCTATGGAATGTCACTGCATGACTGATAAGAGCTACAGCATCCCATTGTGAGATGCTCGGCCCAGAGGGAGGAGCCAAGCATTCCTACCTGGATATAATCTTGTGTTTCTGGACACCAGCATGGCTTTCTCCACTGGATTTCCCATAGGAACAGCAGTTGCTTCTTCTTCACTGATCTTGAGAGGAAGACTACACCCTTTTCTACAGGATCCCTGCTCCAACAGAACCATTCCTGGAGTGTCAGTTCTCCTGACACTCCAGGAGAACTGCAGCCACATTTCCAATTGGACTGCTACCAACACCGTGACCAACAGGGTGTCAGGTTGTGTTCTGACTCTGTCAGTGTTGTTTTTGTTTACTGCATTCTTTATTTTATCCTTTTCTTTTCCTCCCTATTAAAGAACTGTTATTTCCTGCTTCAATATTTGTTGCCTGAGAGCCCCTTAATTTGAAATTGATAGCAATTTGGAGGGGGGGTGGGGTATTCACATTCTCCATTTCAGGGGAGCCTCCTGCCTTCCTTAGCAGGCACCTGTATTTCCAAACCAAGACAGTACTCTTATTTTCCCCAGTCATGCAGTTTTTCTCATAACTTGTTATTTTGATTTGAAAAGTCTTTTCAAGACAGCTTTCATGTCTCAACAGAGATGAAAAACTGGTGGCCAGTCTCTTCTTTTTTCCGTAGAAAATATTATCTTAAAGACCAGCCTAGGTACAGTGAACCATGCCTGGTGACTGGGAAATCCACCAGAGGTATCTCACATTTCCCTCTTGCCTGTTTGTTGTATGAGTACAGTATGATACAATTTCAGCCTGTCAGAATCTCACAAAGATAAAAACAAATGCATATGTTTGTGTGCATTTGCAATATTGCCAGATTTTAGGCAGAGGGTAGAAGAGAAACTCAATGTCAGAATTTTGATAAACAGGACTTGTCTGCCATGGGCGCAGTTGGAAAGAAAGAGATCAAAAATCTTGGGCTTGACTTTCATCCAAGTCTCATTTGGCAGCAATGTGTGGCTTCCATAGAGGCAGAGCAGAGACTGGAATCCACCACTTGACCAGGCTGACACTTGTTTATAAGACTCACAACTGCTTTGTGAGCCAACGGTTTCTTATGGTAATCAGAGGACTGCTTTAATTAAATGGTGTTTTACCATGCTCCAAAATTACTTCAGCAGGCCTGGCTATTCAGTAGATCCATTACCAATGGGAACATTTTGCTGCTACACATTCCCTCATGCCCCTCACAGTTGGTAGACTGCTGCTGCAGGAGGTGTGGCAGGAGAAGATTGCTTCCTTTCAGCTCTATTAAAGGTTTTCCAAATTAAAATCAATGAGAAGACATTTGAAAGAAAGATGGAGAGTTAAATATTTTTTTTTTCCTTTTACTTCCTTTTTTAAGCTTCAAGCTGGTAAGTGATAATCTGTGCAAACAAGATATTAGAAATTTGGCACATCCCATCTACCACAACATATTGATTCCTTCTACAAAAGGCACTAAATACTGGCATAAACCAAGAAATGATCAGCAGAATGCAGTTCTTGTATGACACACAAAAATCCTGCTAACTGGCACAGCTTCATAGTACAATTTTCAGTTACCTAAAATGGTGGTGATAATAGCAGCAATGGTTAGGATTTTTACAAGTACCACGTATACATACAAATGTCAGAACATCTAGAGGACATGCAAAATTTCAAGAGCAACATCACTGAATCACACAATGCATAGAATTACTGTTGTTATTATTATTATGCAAGACAGTGTAATATTTTTAATAAACAATTTTTTTTTTAAACCTACAACCAGTTTTACAAACTGTTCTTAAAAAAAAGTTGTTAAAGTCAGTGAGTGTTAACCTTTTAGAGGTTTAACTCTAAGAATGAATTGGTTACTACAGAGAATTCACAGTTAGGTGGAAATTTAGTTATACTTAAGCAAAATATGTTTGTCAACTGCTGTTTTGGAAGAAACTGTGCTAATCTTGTCAATTTACAAAATGGCAAAAAATACATTCACATTAAAAGATTAAAAAGATTAAACATTGCATGCAGGGAAAGACAAAATCCTTGTTAGCTGTTTCTCCTAGCACTGCTCACCATGAGACCAAGGGTTGTCATAGCAAAAATGCTTTTCAAAGGCAGAGTTAATGCCTGCAGATAATTGAAACAAATGGAAAACATTTTCTAATTCTGGTGTAAATCAAAGTAGGCTATTAAGGGATAAGGATTACGCTTGCCTTCTTTAGAATAAAGGACAAAAACTTCCATTGTGTTTCCAGGCTTTTTCACTGCCTTTCCACTGCTCTTCATTACACTTGGATATTCTGCCTCTTCTTTTTCTTCCAGTATTGAGTAGTTTTTCTGCCCAGACAGATCTCGAGATGAATCCTGAGATGGATGGGCCACATGGACAAAAACAAACATGACAATGCATCTATGGCCAAGTGATGTTGCCTCCTGCACACCTCAGGCTCATTTCCAGTGGGACTAGTCATGTGCTTGGGGGGCAAGTGCAGGAACAGCCCGAGCTTGGTGGAAGCAGAGGCATGGGCACACACTTCTCACAGCACTCTGCAGAAGTGCCACCAAATTCTCTCTGGCAGCAGCATCACCCAACTTGCAGGTACTGCCATAAATAGGTGCAAAATCAGATTCACACCATTTCCTCCCCTGACAGCTTTCAGATTTCATTAAGACATTTCATTTCACATTTTGTCTGCACATCTCTGAAAGCCTTGGATACTTCTGCACCTGCATTTCGCATCCATGCCCCCAGCCTTGCGCAGAGGAACCCAGTCTTTCAAGCTGCTCACAGAGAAAGTTCCTGAAGAAGACATATCTTCCAAGATCTGAATGACAGGCACCAGGCAGAAAACAAAGGTCTCCACAAAGCAACTGACACTGCAATCATTGTTCAGTGCACCTTTAGCCTTAGAGACACTAGGATATTAGTCTCCATAAACAAAAGTTACCAAAATCAATTTGAAGCCATTTAGTCTTGATCCCTGCCTTCTGCATCCACCACTGAAGATAGTGAGGCAATGTCTCCTGCATCGGTTTGTTTTCAGGCTGGAAATTTACATATAGGAAGTTTATTAAATGCATGATAGTAGAAGAGAAAGAGGAATCCCAGCAGGATTGGAATAATGCAATGTGAAACAGACCATAAAGCTACACGATCTAGGCCATCTGAGAACATGCTATAATGGTAACAAGAGCAGTCTCAGCAAGATTACAACTTTCAGAAAGCAAATAAAATTCTAGGTATGAGGAATGTCAGAGTTTTATTTGTTCAGAAGAAAAAAAAATTAAAAGAAAAAGAAAAGCAGCTGAAGTGGCAAAGATAGTACCTGTTAAATTAATTATTTTAAAGCATTTAGTCTTCTATATTTTCCTAAACATTTTGCATTTTCTTGATTTTTTTCCTTCACTTGACTGTTATTTTCTTGACGTTTACACACTGTATCAAACAGTAGTAACCAAAAATAACTCACTAATGGATTCCTACAGCTTTGTTTAGAAGAGCTTAACACCTCTTTTCATTCCAACTGAAACTATCCCACTGAATTTCAAAGATAGCATCTACCTTACCAGTATCTTAAGTGAAAGAAACCTTTTTTAATTACAAAAGATCAGATTGAAATATGAAATGGTTCTCTTTTTTCAGATAGTGATAAGTGCTGTCTAATGAATGCTGCGCACAAGAATAAAAGATTTGCCAAAAGCATCCTAGTACCTTTGAAACAGTTAAGTCCATTATTTAATGCACAGACAACTAATTTAGTGGCATTTGTATAATAAAATAAATGGAGTTTTCTATGCATTGCCAACTACCATTAACCAATTGAGAGAGAAAACAGAGGAAATAAATTAATTTCTTGAGACAGAGATCCATCAGTTCATATAACAAGAAAATTTTGTGGCAAACTCATATTTTCCCATGTAAGTTTAGTAATTAAAGCTTTAGATATCACTGCTTCAAATATGTTCCACTTGAGAGGATAGTATCAAAGTTTTCAACAAACTCAGAGAACTCTCTGGGCTGTGGGGCTTCACAGCTTTGAAGTATTTTGCCACTGAAAATGCCTCTCTGCTGCTTCCAGGAAGAGTCAAGGTGCTGTAGAACAATGGCAACAGGGCTTTGCAGGGTGACAGCCACAGTGCAGTGTGGAGGAACAGGCTGGGAACTGGTTTGCAGGAGTGCAGCTGGAAGCAGTGCAACCATGCAACTCACCGGGGGCTCAGAGAATGCAGACGTGTTCTCAGAAGGGCCACTCCTTCACCGGCTGTATTTGTGCTCCTGTGAAAGATGTGAAGCACTGATGTCCCTGGGGGCCCTTAGCTTTCCAAAACCCTTGAAGAGATCAAGCACAGCTCATGTGTTTTTCACATGTTGTCCTTTGGAAAGTATCATCATTTAATTGTGCTGACGGCTTTCTCTCTTCTTGGCTTGCAGATGCTCAGCTGATAGGGGTGTCCTTGAAAAGCTGCCCTTGGGCTCTCTGTTTTTGGAGAATCGTGCTGCAACCTTCATGTTGGCTCTGCACAGAGCATACAGACAGCTGGAAGACACCAGCTATTATGGTCCACAACCACCAAGACACGGCTCAGAGCATGGGGACCATCAACAGAAAGCGTAGTACTGAGCTTCTGGCTAGGAATTTAGCCATACTTTACAATGGATGGTCTCCTCTCTCCACTGTCCCTCAGCACTGAGTGTAGATTCAGCACACACAGGAAAGCAGAGAAATAAGAGAAAATACATCCTGCACCTTAAGAACAAGGACAGCAGAGAAGCCATCTCTCCATGGTTTAGCAAAGAACCTTCATTAAAAAGAGCAAACCCATTTCCCGGCATGTTTCATAGTGAGAAGTCCTTCTCTACACTAACCCAGAGGGATGAACTGGTTCATTTCAGGCAAATAAAATGACAATTCTGCATCCTGTAAGTTCTCCTTTTTTCATGCTGCTTCTGGAAGTTCAGGGAGCTGGATGGGTCTCAATGCCTGTTGTTCATACCTTGAGCTGAACTCCTCTCCATGATAGAGGGAGTCCAAAAGTTGCATACTGTTGAGGACCAGTCATCTCAGTCATATTTCCAAGTCCATAATGTCAGTGGAGGGCTACACAGCACACAGACTTGGGCCTGGTCCTCCACACAGGCGTAAATTTAATCTCATTTCATGACTTGAAAGCCTCTCACAAAAAACAGAAGAGGGAAGGAGAGTGCTTCCAGCATGTGAGATGTGAGCCTCCAGAGTGCTCACACACAGTATCCCATAACCCCACATATCCCATGCGAGGTGGTCTGCCCTGAGCACATTATCCCCAAAGTACAAGGTCACTTGATGGGCAGGGCTCCCAGCCAAGACCAGCCCTGCACAAAGTGGTCCCCCTGCCCCATGGTGCAGACACCAGGAAGGAGGAATATTTGAAGATCAGGAATTGTGAGAGGAGTGGAGCTGTTGGGGTTGGGGAAGATCAGTCAATCACAGTAATTTGCAGCTGTCAGATGGAATGATCAGCTCATGCACTACATGTGCTAGTCAGGTCAGTCAATTCACTTATGGGATGTACACAGACATGATGACAAGAAAGGGTAACATATGAGCTGAACAGGAAGAAACCTAGTGCAACAGGAATCTCAGTTTCCTTTAAGGCTGTCTCAGTCCTTAGGGCAGCCTGGTCTCTAGAGTGACACAGCACCTGCTCTTTCTGATCCCCATCTTACCACCCCACATCACTTGCGCAAACAGCAGAACAAGATTTGGTCACAAACATCTAAGACACAAACACACAACAGTACAACATTGCTTGACTGTCATTCTCTACAGAGCTTTCTAAGAGGGTAACAATGTTGTAGAGACTGAGTATCAGTCCATAGCAACTTCTAAAAAGAGCTTGAAAATGTTGATACTCTTCATAAAGGAGAATGTGCAGGGACACAGATTCTATTGTTAGATTATACTCTATGTCAGTAGCCCCGATGCTGCTATCATAGAATTATTGCATTATGCAAGTGAACAAGGTATGTGCTGTTATTTTAGATATCCCTTGGAATTTAGTTTACAATGTAGCTCATGATAGTATTTCATTCTCCTGCACTTAAAAACATATTTTGTTGCATAAATACATTTTTGAAAATAAAACAGGCAGTTTGTGACACCCAGGCATCACAGACTTCAGTTTCAACTAACTGCATGAAGACATAACATTGTGCAAAACCACAACATCATAAATACATGCATGGATGACTAAAAAATCAGAGCTGACACCATCCAAAGTGTCCACAGCTCTGCCCATCTACATGTGCAATCATGTGAACAGATCCAAATGCATGTATTGTGCACAGTTGCATCCAGATCAGTCCAGTGACATCCACATATAATCCCCATGTTAGACGCTTATTGTGGTGTCCTAAGAAGGCCACGTGGGAAAGTCAGCACTAACATTAGTGCAGACCCCTTTGCACTGTGTAGGCCTGTGCTTTGGCACTCAGCCTCTTATCTTAAGTTCAAGGCCAAATTTTGCTCTTGATAGCACTGAGCAAATCTCCCAAAAGCCAGTAGATAATTCTGAAGGCATCTAATACATCTACAAATGACCCGAAGGGTCTGAATCTGCATTATCCTTTTGATGGGTTTCTAATGAGATGCAGAAGCTGAGCCAGGTTAATGACTCTGTGATGCTGGTAGATGAACACCATTCTCTGTCTCTCCAACGGGGTCTGCACCTCAATTTTTCAGCAGATTCAGCTCAGTACAGAATTACAGAAAATTATCTGACTTCCCACTTTTTTTTTGCTGTATTTTCTGCTGGGGAGCTGCATTGAAATCTCTCAGTGACAAGGTCTAACACCAAGTTGAAGAAATGTGAGTGGCAGGAAAAAAAGGAAGGAAAAAGAAAGGAGAAAAGCAAGCCCCATTTTAGAGCCAGCTATCCTCATCTTAAGGAAATCACAGCCTCACTATGGGGCAAAAGCTCAGCTTTTACATCGGAGTATGATGTAGTCTGAAGTGCAGCCACCCACCTGCAGTGCCTCACTGTAGCCACTGCACCCAACAACCATAACACAGCCTGTGCTGGACAGGAGCAGGAGAGTGTTTTGCCAGCTGTCCTTGAGTTCATGGTAAAAGGTGTTCAGTAACAAGAGACAAGGCTGGAGACCACAGTTCTTCATGTAGGCAGAGGGATAGGATGGTAAGTCTTGGCAGCACTAGCCCATGGCCACGCTACCAATCATTCAATGTCCCGGAAACAGACAGGCAGTTAGGGAGGAATTTAGGAAAGATAAAGTGTAGCTGACGGGACAATTCAGAAGAGGGAGAGAGAGAGAGCCCGGGGCAGAACCATAAGCAGGAATGGGGGGTACAGGAATAAACCAACTTAAACTAATGCACCCCAACACACGCTGCTGTATCTTAGCACCAGGAAAGGTGCACACCATCATTGTGAGCTCGCACCCTGCTGCCAAAGCAGGTGTGATACCCTCAGTCAAATCTGCAAATAACTGGTTGTCCTCTCTCATCAAAATTAAAGAGATTAGGATATGTACTCTCCTACGAGTATTAGACAAAACCAGGAGAGCAGCTTAAACACAAAGTCTCCCTCCTAGACAATTAATAACCTTTCACAGCCTTAATACAAATGTTAGACAAACTGTGGCCACTCAATTCCTTTAACTGTCCCCAAATAAAGACTGAATAATAGGTTGTATTAAATACCCTTCAAAACAATTAAGTTTATTTTTGTACTATGTTACTTGGGTATCATATTCTGTCCATATGTGTTTAACTTCTTCAACAAATAGTCTGAGTGGGGCTGCCCCATCAGAACTTACCAAGTCAGTCTGCCATCATTACTGCTGGAGCTACTACAGATATCACAAAGCAGAACAAAACTATTCCTATATACACAGAATCAGAGTATGGGTAAGTTTGGAAGGAGCCACAGTGTGTCATCTGTTTCAAGCCCCATGTTCAAGCAGGGTCATCCTAAAGCACGCAGCACAGGATTGTTTCTATGTAATTCTTGCATATCTCCAGTGAGGGTGAGTCTTCCTGGGCAATCTGTTCCTGTGCTTGATTAGAGAGATGCTCCATTCCCTTAATCATCTTTGTTGCCCTCTACTGGACCTGCTCCAGAGCTCCATGTCTCTTTTGTACTGAGGAGCCCAGAACTGGACACAGCATTCCAGGTGAGGCTGTACCAGGGCTGAGTAGAGGGGTGGGGTCACCTGCCTCAAACTGCTGACAATGCTCTTCATAGTGCACCCCAGGATGTCAATGGCCTTCTTGGCCACCAGGACACACTGCTGGCTCATGGAGAGCTTGTTGTCCACAGGACCCACCAGCTCCCTCTCTGCAGAGCTGCTTCCCAGCAGGTCACCCCCAGGCTGTGCTGGTGCCTGGGGTTGTTCCTCCCCAGCTGCAGGACCCTGCACTTGCCTTTGCTGAATTTCAGAAGGTTCCTCTGTGCCCATCGCTCCAGGCTGCTGAGGTCCTTCTGAAGGGCTGCTCAGCCCTCTGGGCTATTGGCCACTCCTCACAGCTTTGTGCTGCCAGGAAATTGCTGAGCAGGCCTCTGCCCCTTCACCCAAGTCATTGATGGAAAAATTAAACAAGACTGGGTCCACTATTGGTGGGAAACACCACCAGTGACAGGCCTCCAACTAGAACCTGTGCCACTGATTGTGACCCTGAGATCTGCTGTTCAGCCAGTTCTCAATCCACCTCCCTGTCCTACTGTGTCTACTCTTCCTGAGTTTGCCTATGAGAGACGGTGTTGAAAGCCTCACTGAAGTTGAGGTAGACAAGATTGCTGTTCTCCTCTCATCCTTCCACATAGCTGTTTAATTGTAAAAGGCAAATCAGGTTGGTCAAACATGATTTACTTTTAGTGTATCCATGTTGACTATCCTGATCATCTTCTCCTATGGACCGAAGTGCCCTCCAGAATGAGGCACTTCCTCACCTTTCCAGGGATTGGGGTGTAGCTTATTGGACAGTAATTTCCTGGGCTCCATTTTTTTCCTTTTGAACACTGGGGTAACATTTGCTTTCTTTGATCCACAGGCACCTCTCCAGGACCTTTCAAAGGTGATCATGAGCAGCCTCAGCTATGGTGTCCACCAAGTCTCTAAGCACTTGTGGATGCATCCCATCAGGGTCCATGGACTTGTGGAAGTCTAGGTGTTCTCCAACACCTTTCCCCCCTTGACCAAGGGAAAGTCTCCCTTCCAACATTCCTTTATCCTGGTCTCCTGGGTCAGAGATCCCTGAGGGCTGGTGCTGCTAGTGAAGACCATTGTAAAGGCAGTGTTCAGTAATTTCACCTTCTCTACATCCTCTGTTTCCAGGGTCCCTCCTTCATTTAGTAACAGGCCCATATTATCCTTCCTTTTCCTTCTGTTGTTGATGTATTTGCAGACATCATTCTTGTTGTCCTTGATGTCCTTGGCCAGATTTAATTCCAGTTGGGCCCTGGCCTCCCTCGTGATAATATTGAGGCTATCACAATAAGCACACACATTTCAATGCTTGTTCCCTAACCTGGCAAGCAAAGGTTGCTCATGTGCCCCATTAAGTGAAGGGTACCAGAGATGCTGCCTTACTGCTGCTGGACATCAGCACAAACCATCCTAATACTGTGGTAATCAACAATTTAGGCAGCATGCAGAATCAGAAAAAAGTAATGGGAAATGCTTCTTTTGACCTCTCAGCTCAAAACCCAGGAGTGCCAGTCTTCTTTCTTCTGAGATCTGTGTTAAGGCTGAATTACAGCACTGATGTGAAGCAACACTTCAAAGTGCTGCTTGCAGCACAGCACATGTACAGCCAGGGACCAGCCTCCTCAGAGCAAAGGGTGTGCTGGGCAGCGGAGGAGAGGTGGGAAACAGAGATCTGCTGCCCCACAAAGGTCAGCTGATACCCAACCCCTCACTGCAGAACAGGAAAGAAAATCTAGGGAACTATGTCAGATACTGCAATAGCTGTCACTGGGAAGTGTTACATGAGTACCAGTGGGGAGAAAGAGAAACCAGACTTCCCTAGAGGTCAGCTCCATGGCTGAGCTCTCACCTGGCAGTTTGAGAGAGATCCTTGGCACAGAATGCTCACACTCCAGCACATACTAAGCACTGCTGCGTGAGTCCTCAGTGGACAACAGTAAAGAAATCCCAGAGCAACACTGGTCTTGCTTTTTCACAATATCACATTAAAAGCACTGCTGTGAAAAGGCAAGGCAGTACAAATAGCAATCAGATGTCTGGCCTCATCTGAAAGCTGGGCAGCTGTCTTTCTGGCTTCACCTGAAATCTCTCTGGGCTTCTGTCTCCTTCACTGACAAGTCAGAAAGTCACAGACAAATTTTGCAACCACTTCAGTAGAGTCATAATTGGCCTCAAGTCCCAAAGCCAAGTTACAAAAGGAAGGCTCTACAATATGAACAACTGCTTGTGCCCACCAATCCACTGCCTACCCTGAGAGACAGCAGATCATAAATGGAAGACTGTAGAACTGGTGGCTACACTACTATGGAGTGTCAGACACAGAAGACCAGACTTTTTACCAGCCTCACTACATGTGGGAAAAAAAGAGATCACAGCCAGGTTGTGTCACCTGCATCAAGCTTCCTGGGAGGACAGATATTTATTATAGTGGAAATCTCTGCCCTTAGACTTTTCAGTGCCACATCTGCTACCTGTTTCATCCCCAAAACATACCTTCAGTAAGGCTTAAGTGAGGTGCAGACACTCTGCCATCTCCCTCTCACACAGGAACATTTCATTCTAGGAACACAGAAAAAAAAGGTTATAGGTGCTAGGTGGGTTACTTCTGTTTGTATTTGCTACCTTTCTTCCACCTCTTCTTTGGAATAAGTGATGATTAAAGTCATTGCACAGTTGCAGATCTAAAGAATTTGAAGGATATTCAGGAATGTGAAGAAATACAGACAAACAAGCACAAAGATACATAACAATTAAAAACTGCAAAACAAGAAAGCCTCTCCAAAGGCCATTTGGTCCAATACCTGGAGGAAATCAGCCAAGGTTGTCTCTTTCACTGACTTCAGCAGGCACTCGATTACCCCAGCAGACTTTTCTAAAGCCTCACCCCAGCCCTAGCACATCCTTGTGGAACTTAAACTAAGTTGATTTACTTGAAAAGTACTGTTCCTAATTTTAAGTGTCAAGAATTATAACTGTTCACTGAAATAGTGAATTTGTTAGTGTTTCTCCCATACTTGTAGTAGAACAAGTACATTACAAAGTAGACCAGTAGAACTTGCTTTATCAAGGCTATGGATTCATGTGCACATTTTTCATCATCTGCAATGGAAACAAATGATGTGTAGCTAAGTTAAATTTGTATTCCAGCACTTAAAACTATCCAGCTTTTTACCTCTCTGTAGAATTTCTTTTAAAAATTTCTGTAGAAATATCATTACACTCTCTATTGTTCTGTGTATTTCAAAGGATGGCTTGAGACGTAGTTGATGCCATTGTTCTGTACAGCTGGGGTAAGATTGCAGATTTTTCTGTACTGTTCGTTTTCCCAGAATACTGAAAGAGTGCTCTATGTCAATAGATTTTACATCACATACACACACCAATAAAATACTAACAACCTATGCTTAAAGAGGTAAAATTATGTATGACAATGGTTTTTCCATTATACCTTTGCATATTTTTGAAAACAATACATTTTAACCTAAACACCAGCAACATTTTGATCCCAGAAAATCAACATACCTAAAAGTTAAAAATGGCATTTAGCTGACTTCAGGATTTTTGTAGTGTAAATGAGCCTCAGGAAATATAATAAAAACAGACAAAATATGCTGTAAATAGTTTTGTGAACTTACATTGGTGTATTTCTTATTTCTTGGTCTTGTTGATCAAGAATAAGCTGGCAGGTAAAAAGCAGCAGCCAATGTTAAGTTTGTCTCCTCCATTGTGGGAGGTCATGTTACAATACTAAGTTGAAAAAATGCTTTAGAACAGAATTGCTACGTAAGCCTCCCTGGGGACTTATTAATGTGTGCATGTTAAAAATGGTATTTTCAGTCTATCTTGTGTTGCCTGAGAACCATTTCTATCCTTTTAAAATCTGCATTTGTATTATAACCCATAAGTACCTTTCATTTTTGCATTAACACTATAAATACTGTTAGTAATACTAAACTATTTCTGTTGACTTATTTGTAGAAAGAAAAATATATTATATGTTTATATATTCTTATAAAGTGAATTAACACTGGAGAGAGGGCTGAGAGGGGGAATAGTGTACAATCACAGCTGATGTGTATTATTGAGCACAAATTCAATGCTTGAAACAGAAAGGAAAAGAAAAACATGTTCAGTGGTCTTTCAAGCCGTGTCAGATGACGAGTCATAGGATGCTGACACTATGAAGTTGCCAGTATTAGAGTGGCTTGCCATGGACTGGGCAGCCTGTTGGCTCAAGTTATTGCAGATCAGCACCAGCTGGTTGCTCTGAGCTTCAGAGAGGGTGCTGCAGCTCTGGTAGACGCTGAAGTTGGTCTTGCGGCCAGGGATGTTCCCTTTCTCACACATTGTCTTCACCATCTTGGCAAGCTTGTTTTTCCCCAGAGCTTGGCAATTGTACCAGTGAAGTGCAGCCAAGTTGACAACGGGTTTGATGGACAGGTAAAACGGCGCATCCTCGTAGCGCATGGCCGGAGGGCGCCGCTGGGCGTACTCCTTGTAGTCCTGCACGGGGCAGGTCTGCGGGGCGTGCTGGGTGGCGTACACCCGCGAGTCCGTCCCGCCTCTCTTGCTCTTGGTACTCACATCCCCGTTGTCTGGCCCCATCCACTCCAGGTACTCCAACCCAGTCTCTGTCACCCGCAGCCGGATGTCCCCCCACTTGAGGGTGGACCCATGGAAACCCGTGCAGTGTCCAAATGCCTTAGTGTTGTTCAGCCACACTAGGTTCAGAAGCCCTTCAGGATTGTATCTGCTCAATAAGCCTCTTTTGCGCAGGATAAGCTCATCAGCAAAGGTGAGCTTCATGGATTTGTGTGGCTTGTTTCCTTTGCCTTTACACCTCAGCTCTATCTGCTTTTGCTTTAGAGCTTCCTGGGACCTCTTGAACTCCTTATCCCTTGTAATACTGTATCCATACCTGTGCTCTTTGAGGTACCGCTCCAGTCCACACTGATAGTTGGCGAGACTGTTTGGCTCATATTCAGACCCATCCTTTTGTCTGGCGTCCACAAAGAAGGAGGCAAGATAGGCATCAAGCTCCTTGCAGGGGATGACATAGATCTCACGGGTCTCAGAGGGGTACTTGGAAATGAGGAATTCTCGGAAATTGCGGAGAGCCGTCTGCGTGCTGCGAATGGTCTTCTCATTCTGCTCCCTGCTAAGCTCTGCTGCTCTCTCATCCTGGTCTGGAAGAGGAAGAATGGGACAGAAAAAAGAAAGTAGAAGCAGTGAGTTTATGTGATGCACTTTTTCCTAAAACAAATTTCCTCAAAAAGGAAAGAACTGAAAATCAAGTTCACAAAGAGCACTGGTAAACATTTTTACATACCTGTCACATCACTGAAAAGCCAACTTCAGTTTAACAAATTACATACTATATGACACAAAACTAAGTGAGCTCCTCACAACACTGGGGCAGTTTTGTGCATTGAGATTAAAGGCAATAGGCTTTTTACAATAAATGCAAGGTGGAAGGATTTTCTGTGGATTCCAATGTTGTGTGCAAGGCCCAGACTCAGGAATAAGCCCACTCTGAATTGTTTCATTTGTGAAACCAGTTGTACTGGTTACATTTTTTTCCCCTAGGAGAAAAAAAAGGAGCTAAAGCATCATGTTTATGACAGTAATATTTATCTTTAATCAGACACATTTTTAAAGAATGAAATAAATTTAGTCAGAATGTACAGTACAAAATAAAGCAGCACATCCAAGAGAAATGACAGGTAAAATTACTACAGAGCAATTTACAACTTACAGATGTATAAGAATAAAGAAAACATAGTCAATATTTTCATATCAGAAAACATGGAAAAAAACCATGATAATACAGCCTCTCTATGTCATCAAACTCTACCTTGACAGAACAAATAGAATTGTCTTTTCATTTTGCAGAAAAATCAAATTCTAGAAAAAAAAAATTATATTTAACAGGCTATCCTCATAGAGCCTTACAATCAATGACATATCAAAACACAATATTCAAATGCAAGCACTACGATAGCTGTTACTGACAGCTGATTTTCTGGCCAATCATAAGAGAAGCATAAAAAGGAAAAGCTTTATAAGCTATGTGTGTTTTTAAGGACTGTTTTCTTGGCATGTGCAAACTATCTGTTTGAACAAGAATGCAGCTTAAAGCATACAGGTGTAACTGTCATTCTGAATGTGATGAATCTTAATGGTTTCAGAAAATTAAAAACAAATGCAAAGAAGGAAAAACTCAACTATTTAAATATTTTCTGGAATTTTATGTGGTACACTTTTGTATCTCTTCCACTTAATAAACAGAAGAGGGGGAAAAAAACCCCAAGATCTTTTCTATTTGGTCTCATTGCAAAACCTGCCACTCTTTCAGCAGTGCCATAGCAACCCTCTCCAGGTGTCTCCCACCCAAGATACACACACAATGTGATATGAGACCAGGTGAAGTTCCCATTGCCTCTCTGCCAATCAGGTCAAGCTTATGTCAGACTGTGTAGCACACCCATGGCTTTGCACCAGTTTTCAGACACTTGCTTCTCTCTTCCCTGCAAGCCTGTTAGCAGGGGAGAGGGCAGCAGGGGAAGGAAGGCAGTCTCTCCTTCTCCACCCCACTTGCAGTGTTCCATGTGGTGCAGAAACACTGGTGCAGAGCTGGGCAGCTCCTCCTTCCACCAATCTACAGAGTGACTCTCAAGAAAGTTCATCCCATCACCTCCATACCATATCTGCAGACAGAGGCACAGGGAATGACTTGCCCAAGGACTTCCCAGCAGAACAGAAGCAGGACTGCGCTTATAGCCCTTATGACCAGGTCCTGTGTCTTCAGAGAAAGGCATCCTGCATCCACACCACTCACCCATTGAGCAGGTTTCTCAAATCCTCTGCAAAGCACAGAGAAGTGGGCATCTGCAACTGAGGCCTTGGGGGCTCCTGCAGGCAAGAAAAAATGCTGCCACAAAGGACTGAGGTTTGTTTGAACTGTGCTCCAGGGGAGCAAGAAAGGTCAGCTGCCTGATTCATAGACTCATTTTAATACTGATGTCAGTATCAAAGAGCTCCTCGAAAACTGCAGTGAAGCCTCATGCTCTAGGCAATGTACATAATAGGTCCTTTTAGTGTAGATGCAGGCTGGAAAAAAAGAGACAGCCCTGTTCAAAGCTCCAAAGCAAACATTTACTCTGGTATTTTGTTCACTGCACCTACCACCACTTGTTATAGAACTGTGTAAGTAATCATTGCTTTGACTGACAGCCCACATCCTAAGTTCTGTTTCAATATAAACAGCACATATAATGGCTCAGTTTTATAAATGTCATCAATCACTTCTTCTTAGAGGATAGCCTGTCACAACACAGCAGTGACACCCAGTCAGTCATTTATGTTACAGCATCTTTCCTTAATCTGCAAAGGAAATTTCCCTATCTGCAGCTAACAGTTATAAAACCCACGCTGAATTAAAGATTCCCCCAACTTGCATTATGAAAACAGTACCCCAGAAACACTGTGTTCTTGCATTGGTTTGTTGTGTGCTACTTCACAAGGCAGGTGGGAAACACTAAAAAAGAATGGGTCAGGTTTTCCTGCAGCCACATCAGGAGAGCTACCTCTACTTTGGCTATGAATCCAGGCTGAAGTAGTAGTAATGGATTATTCTCTTCATATGAGACCACTCAAATATTGACGGTGTATCATGTAGCATGGCATAAATTCAGGAAGTTTCCCATGTAACCGTTCCCAGATGTTTGATTTGTCCCACTTTGCTGATCTTGCTGAATAGAGACCAAAACTCTTTTTAATGTTCTGTGGAGCTGGTAGAAAGTACTGGAAACACTGGTGGGAATCTACATTAGTTCCTTGACTACTGCAAAATAAGCCTATTTGCTCTTGAACCTCCACTACTCAGTGTATCATCAACTCTTCAGTATCCATGGGTTCCAACTGGGTAAAAGCACAGAAAAAAAAGCCACCAAGTGCTCCTAGAAAACACTTCTATATCAGAACATCCCCATGCTGCAAAGTGATGTGGGATAGAAGAATGGGGAGGTGTTACATATGCTTTCACCTTTCTTATAGTCTTCTGTATGTCTCTGTTGTTAGACTTGAGTAATACAAATATTATTGTGTTACAGTCTAATTTCTCTCAGCTGGTTGGTCAGAATCATCAACCAAGAATTATTGTCATCATTGATCTATAAAGCCAAGCTACCCTTAGTGTCTTTTCCTTGTCATAATGCAGTCTTTGGAACCAGTAGTGCTGTTAGTCCTGTTTTACAGATTACAAGCAGAAGCATAAAAAATGAATTGGAGATACATTTCCTGAGGTCCTGCCCCCTCAGCTACATCACTGCACAAAGGACCTGGCTATAGGTCTTGTGTTTCTTATCATATCCCACACCACAATTTCATTTCCAAGAAAACCAGAGTGTGGCAGAAAAAGACAGTAAAACCCACCTTACTGGGGGGTCCAAGGTAAACTCCCCACTATGAGTTTGAAAAGGTGATGAGTACTTAAGATGTTCTAGTTCAAGTGAAGTGAAAGAGATAAAGTGACCAGGCAGAGATTAAACAGACAACCTAGTGGGAGCGGATGTCCCAGGCTAGCCCATGACCATCAGATGATCTCTCCCACAGAGGAACAGCTGTTTTCTGATCTTTTCATAATCTGATTTTAACACAGCCAAGACCTAATATTATCAGCATAGTTATCAAATTCAGACTTGTTTAATTTCAGCTCACACACATACACACACTTGGACTCCCTGAAAAGGACGTAACCTCTGTAATTACATATGGCAGGAGGAAAGGCACTTGCTTTCATGACAGACAGATACAGATTGTTAATGTTCAGAGGGCATTTGCACATCAGTGGGAGTCACAAACCTGAGTTATTATTGCAAAAAGTCTTAAACTCTGCATATGGTAAGCAGTGAGATCTCACAGATGTACGCTAAAAGTAAGGTGGGTTTTCTTGGTGGTAATCACATCACCAACTGAAGTCTTCTCTGCCAAATTTTTGTCCTGCCTAAGAAAGTGCCTCTGCACCAGGCCTGCTTCCACCAATATGCTTTCATTCAAGTGAAAAAGTGTAGTTAACCACACACAAAGCTCCACATATCTCTATTCCAGAGCAAAGTGCCCTCTCTCCATTCCCTAGCACTTGTAGGTTGGCTCTTGCCCCTGTTTTGCAGTTACTGAAAAGTAGTGATATCCAGCCCTTTGGGCCGTGGCAATATGTAGCCCACTAAAACCGTTCAAGTAAACCACAGACTGCTCCTATCTTTTTCCCCTGTCCCATCTTGTTTTAAGAAGGTATCTATAGGCAAACAACACTCTCAAATCTACAGTCCCAGTGAGCAGAGGTCACGCTATTGTACGATGGAGTTATGGTCAAGTCACAATGGGGAACAGCTGCATGAGCCTCTGACAAATGTGGCCCCCTGGAAGCCGCACTACTGGTGCCCTGTCAGAACCAGCTGAATGCCACTGTCATACCATGGCATCCCGGAATATCAGTACTTGTTCTTCATGCCAAACTTAGATAGCTGACAGCTGGTTTTCACAATATCGCAAGAATAAACCAGTGAATACCATTCTCATGTCTTGCTGCCAAAAATGAGGGTGAGGGTAAAAGCAGAATGTGTCCACAGGAGAAGTGCCTCTAAACATTTGCAGAAACTTCCTGAGATTAAGTAGAAGAAATTGCTTCTGTATTTCTTCTTGAATTTCTGCCATACCCCTCTGCCCTACCATCAAACAATTTTTAACTGTTAAAAATTCTTTTTAACAGTTAAAGTTCCCTATTCCCACTATATTAAGTTAAACTCTATTTTAACATTTAAAATGTTAAGCTCTATTTTAACATTTTCAGAAAAGCCTTTCATTAGCATGTAAAATCTGTGGTATAGGAGAATTAATTTATATCCACTTATGAAAGAAACTGCTTTTGGCAAAAAAAATTATACTTCTATTCAGTTAACCTGCTCCAATGAAATTGTCTGCAAAATGTTTTATGATTCTAAAATTATAAAGCTTTAGATTATATCAAAGGAAAAAGGACATAGACTGCAAACAAATGAGTATGGGAATATTTATTCATTGGTATCTCCATGAAGTAAAGTCACTAAAATAAAGTTTAGTCACCTGTACATTTTTTGCAAGTTATAGAATGTCCTGATAATGAATGCTCGCTCAGACACTAGAACTG